CGCTGAGCTGCTAAACTTGCTGACCAAAAGGTTGGTGGTTCAAATCTGGGGAGCAAACTGAGCTCCCGCTGTTAGTCCCTGCTTCTGCCAACCTAGCAATTCAAAAACATGCAAAATGTGAGTAGATCAATAGTACCGCTTTTGTGGGAAGATAATGGCGCTCCATGCAGTCATTCCGGCCACATGACCTTGGAAGTGTCTATGGACAATGCCAACTCCGGCTTAGAAATGGAGATGAGCACCACCCTGAGAGTTGGACACGACTAGACTTTATGTCAGGAGAAACTTTTACTAACTACTATCAGCAGGATTATATCACCTCAGTTGTAGAGAAGTGTACATTTGGAAATATCTTGTAGGAGATGTGACAAAGTTCCATGCCAAAAATCAATAGTTGTCTCCTCCTCCTGTTTTTTCATACTTCACATTGAATCTATTTTGTGCAAAAAGTAACTTTCCCAAGTCTTGTACTTTGGGAAAGTTGCTTTCTGTCAGGCAACTCTTAGAATTATCACAGGGTGGGGTGTTCTGGAAGCTGTCAGCACATTTTCCTTTGCACCATATTTTTAAATATTCTGTTTTGGTTATCAGTTAGTTTTGGGGCACAACCCACAGCATGGTGAAGCTAGGCTTTTCAACACCTTCAGGTTGTAATCCTCTGCTTATTTATATGGCAGTAAACCTTATTGGCTTAAATCGGATTGATGTTTGGATAAAAAAAGATTGCGCATACATTGACATCAGCGTGTCCCTAACAATGCAAGTCATGCTCATTTCCATATCATTCCCTTCTCCACCCTTTTATAAAAAGCAGGGGCTGATTGAGCAATGTTCCTCGATACCTCACACAAGGGCACACCTTTCAAGGTGGCCAATGTGACGTACTCAAATTCAGAATGCCAGTCAAAACTTGACAGAATGAAATGCTTTTCATTTGTCCTCTCTAAACATTACTGGAATGATTTATTTATGATTTTACCTTACTCACCTATTGTTTTAAGTCACATCTACTCTTTTTTATTTGGCCAACAAGAAAACTTGGCCAAGAAGGTGGAACAGAAATGACACTAGAGATTGAAATAATATTCTCTGCTCTTTATTCCTGATTTTAAAAAATCAATTCCTTTACAGTTGAGGAAACCTATTGAGAAGAATAACAGGGCAGTGAGACTTTCTCACAGTATTCTTCTCATTTGAATATCACAAATGGTTTCAGAGCATTTTTCTGGGCAGAAAGACATGAAAGTTTTGCGGAGAAAACACATTTACTGTTTTTGCACAAAGGCATACTTTTTCCTATGGAGACAAATCTCCATAACACTTTGTGATTTTCAAATTTATTTATTTATTTATTTATTTATTTAATATTATGCCCTTCTCACCCTGAAGGGGACTCCAGGCGGATCACAGAACACATATACAGCAAACATTCAATACCATTATACAAGACAAGATATAGGAAGAAACCCATTTAGAAATATTGTTTTCTCCCACAGAATGGAAAAATCTAATGATGATTCACATTCTTACACATGAAAACAAAATCGTCAAAGGTTATACTTAACACACATGAACACTTTACACATAAACATAATTATATGTCATTGTATATGGTGCACATATGTGCAACTGCATGCAGATACAAATAAATAATGAGAAACCAAGAGTTTTTCCAGTAGAGGCATTTGTTGTGAAATTGCTTTTGCCTAAATCGTGGAATTTTTCAGAAAGTCTTTTTCCACTAGTAACACTGATAATTTCTTCAAAGTTGGGAAAAGTTACTTTTATGGTTGACAGCCCTCAAAAGCCCCTAACCAGCATGGTGCAGAAGAAAGCAAGGGAAAATGCAGTAGGATTATAAGTGGGAAACGTTATCTGGACACATTATTGAACTTGGTAAAATTCCATGAATGAAGCAAGGCTACGAAAGTATCTTTTTGAAGCATCATAAATAGCTGCACAATACCTTTTGATCAGTAATCCTAAAAGCTGTTTATCTGGAAGGCAAACATTGTAAAGTAAACATTGCTGTGTGTTCCATTTTCAAGTAGACGTTTAAGATAGACATTTCTGCACACATTACCTGCATTTTAAAAGTGGTATATTCCTATTGGGACTCCACTGTGGTGCATTCCCTTCATGTTGATATGATATCCTTATATGAGGGGAAGCAAAACTGGATCTGTTTTGAAAAAAAAGGAAACATAATGAGATAGTTCCTTCCATGACTTGAGAAGGGGGGGATTCTGGTCATCCAGTCTGCATCCAGCTGACATAATATATCTGATGTTGCAGATATAATAGAGAAGTAGCTATGGCAGAGGTGGAGGAACTCATTGCTTCCAAATAAGGATCATGCCCCTATGAAATGTTCCTTTGGTCTAGCATTCCAAAGAGCGAGATACTGAAATCCATTTGCACTTAGAATGCTGTTATTTGCTATCTTCACAACAATAACTTTATCTGCATCTCTTCTTTGACTGTCTGCACTCAATTTTTGAAGGCTCAATTGAAGTTTTAAGTTATTATAATTCTAGGAATTTGGGGACTGAAGGAAAATTTCATGGGATGGTGGTAGTAGGGTGACAATGTTCTTATTTGGATCCTATTCCCCCAGCTTCTGGGAAATAGGATCAGAATTGGTGAGAAATACTACTAGTCCTTGGGGAAAGGGTGATGATCTACACAGGATCTTTCTTCCCAGGAGCATTGCTATCTTGTAGCATTGCTGCATAGAAAGGGGTGGGTGGGGACACCAGCACTGAAATGGGATGCTGTCACTTTTTTGCATTTGCTCCAGTTACCCCAATAATAAGGTAGCATGGGCTAAAGTCAAAGGAAATCAAGGAGGAGGATCTGTGTCATACTTGCCTACATCTGGCTCAACAACAGGAAATCTAAAAGATATCTTTGAGTCTTAGCAGTCCACAAGTTGAACATGAGCCTACAATGTGATGCATCAGCTTAAAAAGCAATGGGATTTTGGACCACATCCAAAGGCGTATAGTGTCATGGTACTTCTCTACTTTGCTTTGGTTAGACCTCATTTGGAATACTGTGTCCAATTCTGGGCGCCACAATCCAAGCTTTCAGTCCTTGAATTTGGACTGAAAACTTATCGGAAGCCAGTGGAGCTGTTTGAACAGGGAGGTCGACTGCTTCCTGTAACTTGCTCCAGTTAACAATCTGGCTGCCAACCTTCGTACCAATTGTAGCTTCCGAACCATCTTCAAGGGCACCCCTGCATAGAGTGCATTACAGTAGTCCAATCTTGAGGTAACTAAGGCATGGACCACCATGGTCAAGTCAGACTTCTCGAGGTACAGTTGGAGCTGGTGCACAAGCTTTAACTGTGCAAAGGCCCTCCCGGCCACCGCCGACACCTGAGCATCAAGCCTCAGCGCTGAGTCCAGGAGGACCCCCAAACTGTGGACCTGTATCTTCAGGGGGAGTGTAATATAATAATAATAATAACAATAATAATAAACTTTATTTATAACCCGCCACCATCACCTCAAAGGGGACTTGGGGTGGCTAACATGAGGCCAAGCCCAAAATAATACAACATAATAAACACACAATAACAAAATAAATATAACAAAATATGAAATAACAAATAAAATCCACAATATAAAGCAGCATAATAAAACCAGACACAGAGGGCGGGCCAATTGTATGAGGTAAAATGTTTAAAAGTTAAAACCCTGGGTAAGATAGGGATTAAAGTGCATTTGTAGGGGAGGAGCCGTGGGATTTAGCCATTTTAAGGGCGGGAAGGTGCTTTATTCTGAGGGCAGCTATAGGCTAAAACAACCAAATGGGTTGAGTGGTCATTCTCCGAAAGCACAGCGGAAGAGCTAGGTTTTTAGATCTTTCTTAAAAACAGCTAGGGTGGGGGCTTGCCTGATCTCCCTAGGCTGCGAATTCCAAAAGTGGGGGGCCACAGCAGAAAAGGCCCTCTCTCTTGTTCCCATAAGACGAGTCTGTGATAGAAGAAGGGGCGAGAGAAGGGCTCGTGCAGGTTTGTGGTAGGAGATGCGGTCACAAAGGTAGATGAGTCCCAAACCGTTCAGGGCTTTGTAGGTAATAATCCTGCCAAACACAGAAAGGAGATTCCATCTGAACATTAGGAAGAACGTCTTTGACTACATAAGGACCACCAAACGCAGCGCCCAAACATGAATCAAGGAACATGAAAGGCACTACAGACTACTTCAACCAGAGAAGTCAGCAATAGCAGAGCACCTGATGAACCAACCTGGACATAACATTTTGAGAACACAGAAATGCTGGACCACTCTCACAACCACCATATCAGACTACACAGAGAAGCCATTGAAATCCACAAGCATGTGGACAATCTCAACAGAAAGGAGGAGACCATGAAAATGAACAAAATCTGGCTACCAGTATTAAAAAACTCTAAAATTACAACAGCAAAACAACAGAGGGAAAACAATCAGGGACATCTAATCACCTCTCAGCAAAAGATTGCCCCAGGCACTGCCAGGCCAACAAATGCTAATCAAGGTGGTCAGTTGAAACATTCACACCTAGCTCCAGCAGACAAGAGCCCTTTGTCCCACCCTGGTCTTTCCACAGATATATAAACCCATTTTCCTAGTTCTAACAGACCTCACTACCTCTGAGGATGCTTGCCATAGATGCAGGCGAAACGTCAGGAGAAAATGCCTCTAGAACATGACCATATAGTCCGAAAAAACCTACAACAACCCTTCGACAATACTTCCTTGACTGTGGGAGCTGTTCAGCAGTGGAACTCTCTGCCTCAGAGTATGGTGGAGGCTCCTTCTTTGGAGGCTTTTAAACAGAGGCTGGATGGCCATCTGTCGGGGGTGCTTTGAATGCGATTTCCCTGCTTCTTAGCAGGGGGTTGGACTGGATGGCCCACGAGGTCTCTTCCAACTCTATGATTCTATGAATCAGCCTGTTTACCCAGGAGGAAATCCCTTTGTATCTCTCAGGTAAGACTGTCTGAAGCCTTGCCAGAAGGAGGAAGGTTGCGGGGAAGGAAGGAGGGAGGAGACAGTCTGCTGCGAAGGTGAATGGAGCTGGGAGCTTCCTTCCCTCCTTCGAGAAAGCCCTCCCCTCCCTTTCTGACAGTCTTTCCCTCCCTCCTTTTGGCAGAAGGAGAAACCCAGGGCAGGAGGAGGATGAGGAGGACGAGGAGGAGTTGAAGGCATCACCATCATCCTCATCAGAGAGGGAGCCCGGCAAAGAACGGCTGCTGGTTTCTCCCTCCTTCTGGCTGCGGGAGGGGTCCTTCCTTCTTCGTCATCCCCTTCCTCCCTCCCTCCCTCCTTCCAGTGCGGCTCATTCCTGGCTCTGGGAAGGATGAGTCCCAGGTCTGAGGAGCCACAGCAGCCACCGCCGCAGCCCTGCCCTCCCACCTCCACGCAGGAGAGAATCCCTTCCCTTCCTCGCCCCGCCAAGGAAGCATGAGCTTCGGGACCACAGGCTGAAGAAGAAGAAGAAGAAGCAGCTGCAGAAGGAGCTGGCGCTGAGGGTAAGAGGTCCTCAGGGTGGCCTTTCCTTTGGGGTTTCAGGGCAACCCAGGCGTGCCAGGGCTCCCTGAGACCCTTCAGTGGGTTTCCAAATAGTGAAGGTGCTGAGTACTATCATTCCCCAATTGATAGTGCCAATGTTTTTACATCTTAGCTGTGTTTGTGTAAGGGAGCAAAACCACTAGAGCAGGCATGGGCAAACTTGGGCCCTGCAGGTGCTTTGGACTTCAACTCCCACCATTCCTAACAGCCTCAGGCCCTTTCCTTTTCCCCCTCAGCCGCTTAAGCCGCTTAAGCCCCAAAGGAAAGGGCCTGAGGCTGTTAAGAATGGTGGGAGTTGAAGTCCAAAGCACCTGCAGGGCCCAAGTTTGCCCATACTTTGCACTAGAGGCACTCAGATGGCAGAAGGACCCATAGGGAAACAACATCTGCGCTCAGGTATCTGGTACATCTATGAATGTGTAAAAAATATTGCAGTATAGTGGTATATTTACAATATACAATATGAATGGGTTCCTGAGTTAATACGTACAACACAATAGCCCACTTGTACACAGAAAGAAAAATCAATCAGTTCAGCCAATAATGTGACTGGTGAGACTTATTATACAGTTCCAAATCATAGCATTCACAAAACAATATTATATGCGTTTGGTACAGTCACTCAAAAAAGTATCAGTGTGGTATGTTCTTGCGTCAAGTTGAACATAAATCCGTAGTCCACGACCGGTTTCGGCCTCACTCCAGGCCTTCTTCTGGTGGACTAAAATTATAACTGATTTATTTTTCTTTCTGTGTACAAGTGGGCTATTGTGTTGTACATATTTACAATATAGTAATATGCAATACTAATATTGTGCTATGCTAAAAATGGGTTGTTGTAGGTTTTTCAGGATATATGGCCATGTTCTAGACGCATTCTCTCCTGACGTTTCGCCTGCATCTATGGCAGGCATCCTCAGAGGTTGTGAGGATGCCTGCCATAGATGCAGGCGAAATGTCAGGAGAAAATGCTTCTACAACAACCCAGTGATTCCAGCCACGGAAGCCTTCGACACGATATGCTAAAAATATAATATATTGTATGTACATATAATATTGATCAGAATATTGTAATACAATATAATACTACTAATAATGCAATATTGTATTTTATATTATCTGTAATTTTGCAGTATAGTGGTATAGTACAATATAGTAATACACAATACTAAGATTGTGCTATGCTAAAAATATAATATATTGCATGTACATATAATATTGTAATACAATATAATACTAACAATAATACAATATAATTATTATAATATATTTTATATTACTAATAATATTGCAATATAGTGGTATAGTACAATATAATAATATACAATACTAAAATTGTGCTATGCTAAAAATATAATATATTGTATGTACATATAATATTGATCATAATATTGTAATGCAATATAATACTAATAATACAATATAATAATTATATATTTTCTCATCGCATAAAATATTACTAATAATATTGCAGTATAGAGATATAGTACAATATAGTCATATACAATACTAATATTGTGCTTTGCTAAAATATATTGTATGTACATATAATATTGATCATAACATTGTAATACAATGTAATACTAATAATAATACAATATAGTTAAATAATTATATATTTTATATTACATATAGTATTACTAATAATATTGCAGTATAGTGGTATAGTACAATGTAGTATAGTGGTATAGTATAATGTAATACTAATATAGTGCTATGCTAACAATATAATATATTGTAGGTACATATAACTTGTAAGCCTTCGGGCTGAGAAGGACAGGATATAAATGTCATAAATGAATACATAAATAAATCCAGAGTGTCGTAGGATTTGTAGCCTATGGAAAGCCTCCCTGTATTGAAGGAGTGGCTCTTACCCAAGCGTCCAAGGATATTACTAAATAATACAGCAGTAGAAGAATCTGGTCTGTGGGAATGGATAATTATTGGCTGGTTGGGTTTTTCCCCTTCAAAACAATATATTGCACAGCATCACAACTGTATTGGGAAACAATTGTATGAAAGGAGAGGTTAGCACTCCTCTAGAAGAGGTCCTAGTGGCCTGAACAACATGGATATCTTTCTCATTTTGTTTTTGCTGCCTAAGAGTGTCACTGCCCAGGCCTAGTGGTGCCTTTCATGCCAAGAAGGGTCTTCAAGATCCGATGGCTTGCACAGGAAACCACTGCAAGCTGTGGCAATTATTCCTCTGGGCATAGAAGAAAAGACATATTTATTGCCCTTTGGACATCCTCGCTCACTCACAATGTGTGTATCTTTCTGTCACTCTTCTCCAGCATTGCACACACAGTCTCTGCAGATGTGTGCGCTTCGTTTTCCAGGCACATAGATATCTCTCCGGGTATGCTTCCTTCCCTGTCACATGCCATTCAATGTGTTCTTCCTCTTGCTTAAAGTGTTCCCATGCTAGGCATAATTAGGATTCATTCATGTCTGCATTAACCAAACACTGCATTTAGTTTCTCAACACATGAACTTCCATCCACGTGAATCAACACACAACCTAAGTACCTCTCTGCGACAGCAGCTTGACAGATACCATGTATTTCCTCTCTGCTTTGCTTGTTCTGTTTCCCTTTTGCTCAAACACACAGAGACATGCACACAGAGTTTGTTTGCCATCCTTCTGTTTCTTGTCTCTTCTGTTTCCCTGCTTCTTGAAAAATAAAGGCAACCCCTCAGATTATAGCTTATCCTTGGCTTAGAATCATAGAGTTGGAAGAGATCTCGTGAGCAATCCAGTCCATCCCCCTGCCAGCTGGAAAATCACATTCAAAGCTCCCCCGAAAGATGGCCATCCAGCCTCTGTTTCCTTGTCCTTTTACAAGTACACTTTTTTCTCAATCATAAGGCAATGTTTTGCATATTTTAGAAAGATACGTATTTAAGCTGTACTGTGTCTGGAAAAGTACTAGGCATATTTTTTTTTAGTATTTTGAAGATGTGTTTACTATATTTTACATGGACATATATTCACACCATCATTTGTAACAACATTGGCATATATTTGTACTCTGCTGTGTAGATCTTAGCTAGAGATTAGGGAAAATAATGAGGTGGAGTAAAGGAGTAATATATTAATATTATATATTAATTATAATAATATTATATTACTCCTTTATAATATAATAGGTGCTTATACTGCAAATGGCTAGCTGCATTTACAAAACAACCTCTCCAACTATCTGCCAGGAGAGAACTAGTAGAGCAGGAAACTTTTCTCTCTGATTAACCTTTTTATTATTATTATTATTATTATTATTATTATTATTATTATTATTATTTCTGGAAGTTATTATTTCCTGAATATTCCTCCATATTGTTTCCTATACTCATAGTCCAAAGTGCTAGAGATTTTCAATTTAGCCACCTCATCTTTGATACCAGTAATACCTGACTAACTATTCTACCTATTTGAATATTGTTGTACTACAATATGGAAACGGTCATAGCCATGCCTGTCTTCCATTTCAAACTATTTGTGAAGCCAGTACTTTTTGGCCCTTGCTGTTTCCAGGAAGTTTTTGCTTATCCCTCATTCCTCTGTAAGCCTTGAAATGGTTTTAAGTTTACAAGTATCGCTTGTTTATTTGTATTTTTTCACAAACAACTCTCATGCTGAACGTGTGTTTCTCTTACTTAGTTTGAATAAAAAGAGATGTTTACTGCGCTGTCCCGCCAGCCCTGTGAACAAACAGGTTAGTAGCATTTACGGTGGATTGGCATGAAAACGTGCCAAGACACATTTCAGTTGATGTTACACATTTTTCTTTGAGGACACCTATATTTAACATAGCTCGCTGAACACATGTTTTGGTGTTGCAGAGGAGGCTCGTTTCAGAGCCAGCTTTGTGGGAAATGACTCTTTTCAACATCAGTAAGCTATCGAAGACAAATGTTCCTGTGTGGTCCAACATCTAGCCGAATTAGGGCTTGAGAATTGACTGTATTTATTTTATCTCTTGCTTCAGAATGATACTAGTCCAATTGTGACATACAACTGCAGTTTGAGATAATATTAAGAGATTGGGGTATGTATGGTAATTGATTTTTAAGACATTCAACCACTTCCTTTGTCCCTTTATAGTCTTAGAATTGTTTGGTACCCTTTTAATTCTTACAGTGTTAATTCAAGGAGGATTAGCAGGGAAGCTCTTCCTAATGTTTATTTAGATTCTATTTTATTGTTTCTTTTGGTATATTTTGATTATGTAGTAGACTGCCTTAAATACCCCAAAGGCACCAGGTTTTGTCTGATCCTGGAAGCTAAACAAGGTCAGTACTCAGATGGGTGACTGCCAATGAATACTAAGTGCTATTGGCTGTATTTCAGAGGAAGGAACTGCAAAACTACCTTTCAGTATTCCTTGCCTAAAAAACCCTTTTGAAATACTTGGGGTCATCATAAGTTGACAGAAGGTGTGCTGGTATGGCTGTACCAGGAGCTTCAGCTTCATTTTCTTTCTATTGAGTGTTCGCATATATTCCAAGGTTCCATGCATTTTGCAGTAAGGTGGCTTTCCTTGGTTTGCAATTATAGGTCCAATGACCTGTCTATCATTGTTAAGTTTTGGTTCCGCCCCTTTTTCCAGGGCTCTGGGAGGGAAAGGAAACAATTTTTAGTTTAGTCTTATAGTGGAAAGCTTAGCTACAGGACGCGGATCAGCTCCATCTGTAGACAAGCTTCGTTTCTCACAGCATCCGGGGGAAACAGAAGCATCCGGGGGAAACAGCTCCACATCTTTCGTGGAAAAGATCCAAAAGAACTCCAGCTGGAGAATCTATAAAGCCTTGGCTGGTAGGTCTACTCGGGTAACCAGAAGTAATTGGAGCCGGGAGTAAAGCCCACACCAGCAAGCATAGAAAGTAGATTGCCTGGGAGGGGTTAAAAAGAGTTTTCCTCTTAAAGAAAAGAAACAGTTCACGAAGCCAGTTACCTGTCCATTTGGGCAAGTTAAAAAGCATTTATTTGACTTGTTGAAGATCTGAGAAGTGTTTCTTTAAATTGTTGAAGATCTAAGCAATAATAAAGGACTTTGTTAATCTTTTCAAGCATCTAAAGGCTTTTGTGTAGGAAAATCCTTAGGGCCTCTCAGCCAAGGCAACCCGGCTTCCCGCTGGGCACAAAGAGCATGTCCCGTTCAAAAGATAATTATTATAGGCCCAGCGCGTGACAGCACAGAAGGTGACTTGAAAGTGTTAGGATTTTGTTAGGGAAAACTACCCCAAAATAGCAGAGCATCCAAAATACAAACAGGATACTAAAAGTTGAGCAATCAGTTCACAACCAGCAGAGCATGAAGTGTCGTTGGTTGTGGCTGTAAAGAATGTAGAGCGTAGGCAGGCAAAGGTGCAGAGTCCAGTCTTAAAAATCACAAAAGGTTTATTTACAATAATAAGAACTAACTACATTTCTTAATGGTAAAAGAACTGGGTCTGAGCTACTCTATAACCCATCTCTTCTAAGGTTTGAAGGAAGGGAAAAAACAACAATCACTACATTTCTCTGACACGCATGCAGAGAGAGATCTCAATTCATACAGCATACTCTAAGGGCCCTTCCACACAGCCATATAACCCAGAATGTCAAGGCAGAAAATCCCACAATATCTGCTTTGAACTGGGTCATCTGAGTCCACACTGCCATATATTCCAGTTCAAAGCAGAAAATGTGGGATTTTATTCAGCTGTGTGGAAGGGGCCTAAGATGTAAACAGCTGAAGTCAGAAGTAAAGGCTTGCAGTAGAAAAGTATTCATTCTACACCAACCAGAATGAGAGCAGAGACACAGAGGAGAGAAGATATAGATACATTCTGTTGTACAGGAGACACGTGGGAAGGGGAAACCCCAGCCTATTCTAAGCTAACTAAACTGTTCCTCATTGAGGACTTGAGACTTGGCAGTGTGGAGTTGAATTCCAACAGAAGGCATATGTCCACACTTACATATACAGACATTTAAACATCTCTTGACTTTTACTGGCCAAGTTGAAACTTGGAAAATGTAGCATTTTAGATTCTAATTCCAGAATTCTCCACTAAGGAGATTCAATAAGTTGTAGTTAAAAATATTTTTAAGCTTTGGGCCCAGGCTAATATGGTACAGAGTTTTTAAAACTCATGTTTACATTTTATAACCGACTGCTTCACATCAATTGGTTTAATTTTCCTCCCCCTCTCCCCCAATGTTGTTCTCCCTGCTGAACTCTCAGGATGCTTGGGTTAGTCAGTCAATCTGAGCAAAATTTCACTCTCATCCATATAACTATATTAAAATATTGACTTACTCCTGTAATAATGTCAGGAACCGCTATAAGGCTTCAATTCTAGCCACGCATCCTACTTCCCTGGAAGTGAGTCTCTTGGAATTAATATATTTCCTGTATACATATACAACTTAAAGATCCTTCGTTATAATAATATGTTACACAGTTTTCTTCAATAACTAACTCATGGCTGAATTACATTACAATTGTAATTTATTTATTTGCCGTGTCTTTATCTTGCCCTGTCTCACTCCAAGGGGGGGACTCAGAGCAGCTTACAACTTGGCACAATGCGATGCCACATCAAACATAAATATAACAGTTATAAATACATTAAACATTAAATCATTAAACATAAACCAAACATATATAAAATACAATTAAAACAGAATTTAAAACAGCAATTAAAACAAACCACCTAGTCCATAATCAGAGTCCACGAGCCATTCCAGTTACAGTCACATTGATTCCTGGTTGTCCATTGCATTGTTGCTCCAAATGTCTGGTTCCAAAGCCAAGATTTTACTTGTTTTTTTTAAATGCCAGGAAGGAGGAGGCTGATTTCACATCACTAGGAAGGGAGTTACACAGCCAAGGGGCACCCATGGAGAAGGCCCTGTCTCTCATCCCCATCAGCCGCACCTGCGAAGGAGGTGGGACCGAAAGCAGGGCCTCCCCAGAAGATCTTAATGTTTGTCCTGGTTCATAGTAATGTAATGTGAATAACCTAATTCCTTTTGCAATGTAGCTGAGTTTAGTTGCTTTTATAGTTATAGCACTAGCATAGTTAGGTGTGTGGTATACCATAGGACAGAGGCTTAGGCACTGAGATTTTTTTTAAAAGTCATTCAAAAGGTAATAATCCCAGCTATTTTGAATAAACAGAAAATTTAAAAAATGTAATTACAGTCTAAACTATTTTAGACTTATCATAACAAACAATTGCTTTGAAGCTTCAGGTTTACAAGTGTGGATAGAGTAAATGCTTGCTTTTCTAGAAACCTTGTTTGGTAGGTTGGGTTTATTTTGGAGCCAATTTTACTTTCAGTGTCATGAACCTTTTATAATCTAATTACCTTGTAATTAAACATTCATCTGACACAAGGGCATAAGGTGTGTTTCTGCCAAAAGGTTAATAGGTTGGGCTTGGATTTATCATCTGCTTGCAACTACCAAGTGCTGAGTTCAGTGATGAATGTGACAAAAAAGATCCTAAACGAAATACTGCTTTAAAGTTTGCCCTGATACTGAGGATCCATTTCCATTTTACTTTCAATTGTGATTATAATAAACTTTATGGTTATATCAGTCAGTTTGGTATATTGATTTGAGTGTCATGCTAAGACGACGAGGCCAGGATTTGAATACTCACTCAGCCATGGAAACCCATTGAGTGACTTTGGACAAGACATGCTCTCTCAGCCTCAGAGACAAATGCCTCTGAACAAATTCTGCCAATGAAAACTTGTGATATATGTACTTTACGATCTCCATAAGTCAGAATTGGCTTGGAGGCACACAATGACAACAAATTAAGGGTGTATGCAGGTAGAATTTTCTGGAATAACTAAAGGCAAATGCAGAAAAATCAGTTCTAGCAGCATATTCATTTTCATCAGTATTAGGGGAATGAGACACCTTAAATACTTGCATGTCATTTGGATTTGCCCAAGTTGTTTTGCTGATGCAGTCAACAAGGTGGCACCCCTTTCCTTGTATGGACTGGGACAGAGAGTGAAACTTTACATCAACAACAGCAACACATTAGGGTCCTCAACAATTTAATTTTGGAGGTGTGGGGCAAGATGTATAGGGCATTTTGCCATGAAGGAAAAATAACCAAGATCTCAGAAGAATTGCTGCTGTTGCTGAACTGGGAAATGCCATTGTTGCCTGTCCCCTGTAGTGGTTGCTTTACTTTGCCTAATGGGAATGTTGGCTCTGTATGTAACTTTTCTTACATCATGAAAAGCAAAACAAAAATTGAAGGTAACTCCAAAGTATACCTGTATCTGATGAAAATAATTGAGCAATTGATGAAGACAAGGAGCAGTCTCATTCTGCTAATTAAAGATAATGTTATTATATAGTAATCAAGTACCTCCCATACTTTTAATGCATTCACTTATGCCAGAAGGCTCTGAGGTAAGGAAGTATTACTAATTGTGTTACTAAAAAATCTTGAAGAGATGATGAATCATCCATGAGGATAACAGGGAACTTAAACTGAATATCTGTATCCTAAAATGTTATAGTATGGTCTGTATTTTTCTTTGGGTGTGTGTGTATAAAAATATGTCTGAAGTCAGGGGTGTCAAACTCATTTTCACCAAAGGTCACATTAGCTTTATGGTTGCCTTCAAAGGGCCATTTGTAATTGGAAGATTGTATAAATGTAATTATGCTGCCTTAAAATTGAAAGTCTTGCAGGCCGCATAAAATGATGTGGCGAGCCAGAATTGTCCTATGGGCCTTGCATTTGGCATGTATGTCCTAAGTATTTATTTATCGTGTAAGAAGCAAATTGAAATACAATTATAATGCATTTGAAAAAAATCACAAAGTTAAAAACTTGGCATTATACTAAATTTCCTTTGACCAGAAGCTGGCCACTTCAAGCACCTCTGGTGTCACTGTAAGAAGGTCCTTCATTGTGTATGTGGCAGGGCTCAGACTGCATTGTAGTAGGTGATCTGTGGTTTGCTCTTCTTCACACTTGCCTGTCGTGGACTCCACTTTGTGGCCCCATTTCTTAAGATTGGCTTTGCATCTTGTGGTGCCAGAGCGCAGTCTGATCAGCGCCTTCCAAGTCACCCAGATTTCTGTGTGCCCAGGAGGAAGTTTCTCATCTGGTATCAGCCACTCATTGAGGTTCTAGGTTTTAGCCTGCCACTTTTGAACTCTCGCTTGCTGAGGTGTTCCTGCAAGTATCTCTTTAGATCTTAGGAAGCTGTTTCCCGATTTAAGGCTTTGGCTTGCTGGCTGGTATTTGAACAGAGGATGGGCTAGAGATATCAATGCTTTGGTTCTTTCATTACTGGCTTCTACTGTGATAAGATGTATTCCAACTGGGTGTGCATATTCAGCAACAGAGTAGCAAAGCGCAAGGGCAGATGTCTTCATTGTGTCTGGTTGTGATTCCCAGGTTGTGCCAGTCAGCTTTTGTATGCTATTATTTCTAGCACCCACTTTTTGCTTGATATTCAAGCAGTGATTCTTGTAAATCAGAGCACGGTCCAGAGAAACTCCCAGGTATTTTGGTGTGCTGCAATGCTCTGGTAGGATTCCTTCCCAGGAAATCCTCAGAGCTCAAGATGCTTGTCTGTTCTTAAGATGTAAAGCATGCATCTGTGTTTTAGATGGATTAGGAATCATCTGGTTTTCACTGTAATGGGCAGTAAGAGCCACTAAAGCTTCAGAGATCTTATGTTCAACCATTTCAAAGCTCCCTGCTTGAGTGGTGATGGCACGATCGTCAGCATAGATGAAATTCTCTGTCCCTCCTGACAGTGGCTGATCATGTGTGTAAATGTTAAACATTGATGGAGCAAGCACGCTCCCCTGAGGCAGGCTCTGGGGCATGTTCATCCTAAGTGAATGAACGTATATCCCTAGCACAAAAACAATCAGTCACTCAAGTCTGCATTCTACCACTATTCTCCTGATCAGATTCTCAAATATAAAACCTTGTTACTTTCCTGAAAATGTGGTTAAATTTATTACTTCTAAAATAGTAAGAATAGCCTTAAATAGAGGTAGCTTCCATCTACCTCTGGTTTTTGGATAACTTTTGAGGAGCTGTCCAAGGCGCTGAAATTATAAGTTTTCTATCTCAGTGAAGCAAAGGAGGAAGGTGCATGTTCCAGTCGACTCAGGCCCCTTCTACACTGCTACATAAAATTCAGGTTATCTGCTTTGAACTGGATTATATGGCAGTGTACGCTCATATAATCCAATTCAAAATAGATAATGTGGATTAGCTGCTTTGATCATCTGGATTATATGGCAGTGTAGAAGGAATCTCAGATTCACCAGGAAAGCACACAAAAACAAAACCCTTACTCTAAAATACCCAGGGCTGCAAACCTACCAGTGACCAAAGCCATAGGTATAGAGAGGGAGCAAATCAGATAGCAAATCCTGGAAATTGAAGCACTATGTTGAAGGAGAGAATTGTGTGACATATTATTATAGACTTGTTCTCTGCCCCTCAATGATGTTGTACAGGTGCAGCAAAAAATGCTCTCAGCTCCTCCCCCCAAATCAATGTCACTAACATTTGCCCAGAAACCGCACCATCACATTTTGTTGGTGACCTGCCCAACACCATTGAAGTGCAAGAGCAAATGCTTATTTTAAATGTGCTTTTGTAGTTTCCTGCTGAAATTTGGCATCAGATCAGGAAAAAAGAACCATTAAAAGAAGTGTTCCCCTTTTGTGTTAAAGGCTTTCAGTGCTTGCCACTGAAATATAGCAGCATAGTTTGCAGCCAAATTTCATCTGGGTGTCTGTACTCACTGCTTATAGCAGGTCACTGTGGGACATGTTTGTCTTTCAAAGTTGGCAATCTCTCTGTAGCATTTAGATTAGAAGTGAAAAAAGAGTCATCCAAGGGGAAAGACTTTGCAAAGCTACAGCTTCCATGATTCCAGTGTAGATACACTCTTGGCCTTCTTAGTCCCAAGAAAATTGGACCTTGGACTTCATAGATTACTACTCGGAGGGGGCGGGGGGGGGGGGGGACAAAATTAATAATGCAATTAATGCTTTCAAATGCATAACATAATTTTTCTCCTTTCTTATTTTTAGGTTTCCGAGTCCTGTACAAAATGCCCACCATTGTCACTTTCATCTTTCTTCTATTAAGTATTGCAGTTATTGTTACTATTACTCTTGTCCAGTGGAAACAGAAAGAGGTCATTTCTCCAGGTGTGAAGGTAAGGTGTGTGTATAAAAAAAATCAAAAAACAAAGGGACCCTTTGCCTTCCAACAACTGTATAAAATTTATTTATTTATTTATTTATTTATTTATTTATTTATTTATGAAATTTATATGCTGCCCTTCTCACCCCAAAGGGGACTCAGAGCAACTTACAAGTAATATACAATACAATAAATAAAATAAATACAATATCTTCTTGGACCCCTCTCTTTACTCTGGTCCCAGAGTAGCAGTTGGTGTTGTGGGGAGGGGCTCCCAACTGCATTTTCAACGGGTATAGCTTGTCACATAAGTTATATGTATTGGAATTCTCTCCTATGCAATTTTAATGGTATAAGAGTCATGAATTCTTTTTTTTTTCAGACCACACACAACATAAGTAACACTAACTGCATACTTTGTGTGAGAGCTCAGCTGCTGATTTAGTGATATATTAATAATAATACTTTCAACCTTGGCTCTCTCTTACTAAATGTTAATCAGCAACATTATTATGGGGAAAAAAACTTGTTTAGGTAGATTCCATACAAACATCCAAACCTCAGTTCTTCAACTTATGAATTAAAGCAATATTTCCCAATCATGATGGTTTGGTCTGGGCAATGCTGTCTCCCTCTATGTGATTAGGGTAGGGAAGTGAAACTGTGGTTGCATCTTCACTGCCATGTAATTCAGATTATCCAAGCAGATAATATGAGTTTATACTGCCACATCATTCTGTTCAAAGCAGATAAACTGGATTTTATGTGTTAGTGTAGATCGCACCTGTGTTGGCCACCTGGCTTGGCTGATCTACCTTCAATGCCACCATATATCTCTGTCATAATGTAGCATTTTAGTGTGGAATATGTGCACAACACACACCTCAACATTGAGTTTGACAACCCCATGACTCTTGGATTTTGTCAACCCCATGACTCTTGGATTTTGTCTGTAACTATTTTTTATGCATTGCACCAACATGTAGGACATGGGAAGTGAAAAGGGTATGTAGGCAAGAAGAACACACTGGCAGATTATCATCAAAATCAGCAGCTGTTTTGAAGTAAACCAGTATAACATTGTGATTTCAATTTCATTGGGTTTGTGGTTCAGTCAGGCACTAGAGCTTTCAAACAAATATTTCTAATTGTTTTTTCCTAAACTGAAACTCCCAGGATTCCATAGACGGGAACCATGGAAATTAAAGTGAAACTGTGGTGCTATAACTACGTAGCATAACATTTTTAGAAAATCATGACCTTTTAGAGATCATAACCTTTCAGAGAAGAGCCAAAAACCCATTTAAGTAGAATCTTCTCAAGTGGTATACAACAAAAGGTAATTATGCAAGGCAGTTGGCTTCAGTTGTTAGACTGAATAATCTGTTGTCTTTGATCTGTTAGGAAACAGATAATATGCCAGTGCATAAAAATAGCAGTTCTTCAGAAGTGTTTTTCAGTGCTCAAAAATATATCTACTCTCCCATAAAACAACTTGTTTATATTATACACTCAAGAGACAAAATAAAGTAGACTTTGGTAAAAAATAAATAACATTTTGGTTTACTCACGACTTTCATGTGTTCAGCATACATACGTACATAATTTATCAATTATGTACTACCCTGCCTATCTTTGCGATCGCATCTCCCTCTATGAACTGGTGCAAACTTTAAGATCTTCCGGGGAGGCCCTCCCTTCGCTCCCACCACCGTCACAAGCACTGTTGGTGGGGACGAGAGAGAGGGCCTTATTGGTGGTGGTCCCCCACCTCTGGAACACCCTTCCTGGAGAAATAAGACAGGCCCCATCCCTCCCTACCTTTCATAAGAGCTTGAAGACCTGGTGGTTTAAACAGACCTTTGAGAACGACTAGTTCTAGTTCTGCCCCAGATACTGTTGAAATTGGCCATATCTTTTTCTACCAATTACTCAGGTCACTTTCTTCTATTAGGCCCTGCAAATGTACAGCCATAGACTCTACCTAATTTCCTGGGCCCTCTAAAATCACACTAGCCCGGTCCAGTCTTTTAAACTGCCTTGAACAGGCAGGATTATTTTAAATATATGTGCTATTGTGGTTTTTAATGCATATATTGTCTTGTTAATTTTATGCTTATGCTGTTTTCTTTGTATGTATTGATTATGTTACTTGGAAACTGCTCTGTCCTCTTGGGGAGATAGAGCAGTATATAAATAAAGTTTTGTTGTTATCAGTCAGTTACAGATATGTTTGAAATAGTTTCTGTGCTATCCAATCAGAATGGCTCTCTTACAATAAAGAGCAGGCAAGAGTTGGCAGGTCTGCGATCTGAACAGTCCCAAAGTTTAAAGAAACCTGTGCTCTGTGCTTGTCTCAGAGTAGATCACATGGTTTGCAGATCCAACTTCTCAGGAAAACATAGAGCAAGGAAAGAAAGCTGCATATCAGAACATAATACAATAAGTAAACAATAGGTTATAGATAAACAAATTACTAGAGGAGGCTTGAAGATTGCAATTTACAACAGAAACAGGCCCAATTCTGGATTGCTGTGAGTTTTCCAGGCTGTTCCAGAAGCATTCCCTCCTAACATTTCTCCCACATCTATGGCAGGCAACCTCAGAGGTTGTGAGGTCTGTTGGAAACTAGGCAAGTGAGGTTTATATATCTGTGGAATGTTTATATATCTGTGGAGAAAGAACTCTTCCGTTTGAGGCAAGTGTGAACTCAACCAGAGAAGTCAGCCATAGCAGAGCACCTTGATCTAACTTGGACACATCATATTATTTGAAAACACAGAAATGGTGGACCACGCTAACAACCACCATGTCAGATTACACAGAGAAGCCATTGAAATCTACAAGCATGTGGACAATTTCAACAGAAAGGAGGAAAACATAAAAATATTACTAGACACCTACCTTTTAAAAAAGTATAGTAGCGGCTATTATGGCTTTTATTATGTTCATATGTGATTGTTAGTATGTTAGTATACGATTGTAAGTTGCCTTGAGTCCCCCTTGGGGTAGAGAAAGGCGGGATATAAATAAGGTAAATAAATAAATGGCTATAAAAGAATATCGGAAGGTAAGGTTTTAGTTCTCTATATTGCTTACTGGTTGCCACATGATAAAAATCAGAGCTTAAAATAACATAGAGGGAGACAGCATTGCCCAAACCAGACCATAATGATTGGGAAATATTGCATTTCATTCCCATTGCTGTGTTTGAAAAATAATCATTTGCTATTATTGGAAACATTTTCCTGCTTGTTATGTTACTATTTCTATTATATATATTTAAAACCCTCTTAAAATGGATAAGAAAAATTGCATAAAATTGGAAAAGTCCTTTCAAAATGCCTCTAAACATATTTTTGTTGGACCAGCAGTAGTTGGGGGAAGTAGTTATGTAAATGGTTGGATTGCTGAGAGAATTATGTGCCTGAAGGTTGAAATCTACCCCCCTGAAAGGGCTTATTGGTCCACTTGAAAGAGATCTCTCTTGACTGTGCATGCTTTCCTCGAGGCAGGGATTTGAACTTTATGGGTGCAGTTATCTTATTGCTCCGCTGGTTAGAACATGTTGATGGTATTATCCTTTCTGCCTTTGCTTAATGTCAAAGTGGAAAAGGCAAGTAAGGGAAATCAATTATTAAATATGTTGAGTAGCTGAGATGTGCCACAGATATAACTGACAAAGAACCTACATTAGAACAAGTATTAATTCCTACGCTACAGACATAAGGAATCATCACGCACCAAAGACACCAAGATTTCATGGTAGTTACAATGGAATCATATCATCACAGAAGTGTCATATGAATGGACTGCAGATATTTAGTGTTCAAAGAAAAATGAAGTTAAAGTACAAGAAGCTAGGAAGCTTACAAGACCCAAGGCTGTTTTACTAAAAGCTGTGTTTTCTTTTTCCCCTTTTGTGGATAAAATCATTCTTGGGTTTTTACATGTACAATCTTTTCTCCCAGTATGGAATCGTGCTGGATGCTGGGTCATCGCGAACAACAGTCTACGTGTATGAATGGCCGGCAGAAAAAGAAAATAATACCGGTGTCGTAAGTCAGACCTTCAAGTGCAATGTTAAAGGTGAGGAGGAAATAGGAATTTCGAAATAACAGTATGACATCAAAACATAGCCAGAACTGAACACTCCTGTGGGTGAGTCAAACAGAACGGGCAGCTTTTGTGCCTGAGCCCTGTCGAGCACATGTCTGGCACATCATAAAAGAGGGTTGCCAGTCCTGATCCAAAGCGATCTCCTCCGCATTTAACAGCTGCAATGCAGGAACAGGTCTGGCGGTTTGAAATGTGTGGGAGGTTCTTCCATTTTGCTATGGCAAAAATCACACCATCTGCGTGTCTGTGGGATTTCAAATCATGATAAATTAACAGGCAGGAAGGACACTGGCAAATCAAGATTGTTCAGCATTCTGCTGCCCTGGTATAATAGAAACTGTGGTAGCCATTTCTCTTGGGGGAAAATACACTCAGGTTGGATGTAGGCTTCGCAGTGTTTAGAAGAGAGCCATGATCGGGCTTAGCCCCATGTAAGCAGCCCCGAGTCCCTTTGGAGAGATTGCTGTGGGGTACAAAAATAAAGTTGTTGTTGTTGTTTTGGTTGAAATAGAATATGTTTCTTTATTTATTTAGAACAGGCACAGAAAGCTTAATGGTTGCAGTATACAGGTACAGAGCATTATGGTTTCCAAAGTAGTTCGAAGCTCAAAACTTCAGGTTCCAGTCAAACCGTTGTTGTTGTTGTTGTTGTCGTCGTCATCATCATCATTATTACCTTTTCATTTATTTCAGTGAATTTTTCAGGCTGTATGGTCATATTTCAGTAGCTTTCTCTCCTGACATTTAACCTACATCTGTGGTCGGGATCTTCAGAGGCCACCTGAAAATGAGAGAAAGCTATTGGAACATGGCCATACAGCCTGAAAAATTCACAGCAGCCCAGTGAGTCTGCCCATGAAAACCTTAGACAACACATACTACTACATTCTTTTCTTGCCTGAGTGCCAAGCTTCTCATGTTTTTCCTTTCACTCTTGCAGGATTCCTGAAATATAGGCCAGGTCAAGGGAGGCTTGCTTGCTTGAGATCATCCTTAGGGCTTCAGGTCTGAATGAAGACTGAATCCTAGGCCAATATTTTGACCATGTAGTCACTGATTCTCTTGGAATAACATTCTCATGAATTCTTTTAATGCAATATCTGTTAAACTAGGCCTTACATTTCTGTTTATTCTCCCCAATCCCCCACCCCCCAGTGATGGTGGTGGTGGTCATGTCCTCTTTCATCAAAGGGAGCTGTAAAGTAAAGTGAGATTTTCATTTGCTGGGTACACACTCATGAGTGTCTCATACATGCAATTACGAGATTCTGTGGAGGCGTTTGATGTTCTTTCCAAGCCCATTGTATGTATTATGGGAAGAGTTATATAGGCATCTGTGTCTACAATTAGAGTCAGGTCAAGAAATTACTGGTTGTTTTGTGACTAATGAAAGGGCATGCATGCTGCAGTCTGCTGAAATCTGAAGCAAGTTCTCACCCTGCTTGGCCTCATGGGAAGCAAGACTTTTTTTTAAGGCAGAGGAACACACATTTGGATATTCCCTGGGTTAAAAAGGGCAGGAGTCTGTTTGTTTTTCATTAAAAGGACTCCATTCGGTGGTGGCTGAGTTAAAGCATATTTTATACTCTTACATCCAAATGTGCTTTCTTAAAATATCTTAGTCCTCCCAAGTCCCTCACACATGTGTTCTGCAATTTGACAGTCTGGACAATTTAACAAGAGGAAAGCCTGTTAGGGGGACTTATCTGATAATATTATGTGATACAGTATAATACTAATAATACGATATTATAAATGTTATATTACATGTAATATCACTAATAATATTAAAGTATAATGGCATAGTACAATATAGTAATATATAATACTAATATTGTGCTACGGTAATAATATAACATATTGTATTTACATATTACTTGTAAGCCACTCTGAATCCCCTTCGGGGTGAGAAGGGTGGCATACAAATGTCGTAAATAAATAAATAATCTAGAAAACAAATCACAACTATTTTAAAAATCTATTTTGAGCACTATTGATGACAAAATGAAGGTTGAAACATAGAGGCAAATGTATTTGCTACTCTTTAAAAAGGCAGCCAGCCAGACGTATGAATGGAGAGCAAGACTGAGAAGCTTATTTACCACGTTAATCCCTGAGGCAAGTTTGTAGCAATTGTTTTGATATTGTTGTGATTTTGGGTTCAGTTGGTGATAAAGTGAAGTATGGTTATATGAGCAAATATATGTACTACTCTTTGAAATGCACTCAGCCAACTAGATTTATCAATCCAGAGCAAGACTTTGGCATTCATCCCCTCTTATATTATACATTATTAAGGTGAGATCACACTTTGGGTAGAAAACAATGTTTCCCTTCCAAGGGATAGTAAATATTACTTGTTCTTGCATTTTAGGAATGTAAAAGTAACAGCCACCAGAAAATATGGTAGACCTTTGTGTTTTGATGTCATCGGTTCTTTCGGATTATGCTTTGAGTCTGTTCCATCTACCACTACCACCACCATCATCCATTATTTTAATTTGTGTAATTGTTGCTTTGTTTAATGTGTTTATCTTTCTTAAGTTATTTATGGTTTTAATCTGTGCTTTAAATTGTTTACACTGGATGCTGTCCTATGATCCCATGATAAATGGCAGGAGAAAAGTGTTTCAGTGAAATAAATAAATCATAGTGATTGCTGGGGAATTGCATTGGATTTGGCCAAATTCCCAGTCAATACTGCAGTGAGAGTCTCTCTGAGGTGAAGCAGGGTTCCTTCTGAAGAATTCAGACTCCAGTCTGGACCTTCCTGAAACTTTGTGGACATTTTATCATTTTGGAAGACTGATGAAAAGCTGGCAATCCCACCTCTCCACCCCCACCCCCATTCTGACTGACTTTTTCCATATATGAAAAACCTTGGGGTGGCAAGGGAGCATCAAGAAGAGAGAGAAGCTGACTGACAGGCAGATCTGCTTTCTGAACAGAGTTTATCAGGGACTCTGCAATCACAATTCCTTTGGAGACATATAATGGTTGTTAAATATTGTTCTGCGTTCAGTACTAGTTCTTTGCCCTCTGAGTAAAAACGGTGCACTCAGCGGAGTTTTTCATGTGACCTCTGTACTTTCCTTAACTTGCTTCCTCTCAACTGATCTTCATTCTTCCAACCTTTATCCCTATTATTTTCCATTCCAATTCATTAATTCTTTTACATCACTTATTGAAATCTTTCAATGATGAACATTTGCTTCATATGCACATCCCTTTTCTTAATGATCTTTATGCCATACTGCCTTAAAGTATGGGTAAGTCGTTAGAATGTTGAACTGGGATTTTGGGAATCCAGGGACTGGATTTCTGTTCCATAGAGTTGCCAGAAAGAAACTGGAAAGGGCTGTTGTACCATTCATGCTTGTGTTAAAATAGGATTTTCAGCAGGTATTGCTTTTTAGCCTTAAAGGGAGGTCGTGGCTGAGACTCCTCTGACCAAATTTTCCTGAGAGAACCCTATGTTCTGGTGCCATACGTGGCAGTCAGTTTAAAGACATATAACATTAGCAAGTGGGTTAAACCCCTGTGCCGGCAAGACTGAAGACCGATAGGTCACAGGTTTGAATCCAGGGAGAGGCGGATGACCTCCCTCTATCAACTCCAGCTCCTCATGCGTGGACATAAGAGAAGCCTCCCACAAGGATGATAAAAGCATCAAATCATCCGGGCGTCCCCTGGGCAATGTCCTTGCAGACAGCCAATTCTCTCACACCAGAAGCGACTTGCAGTTTCTCAAGACGCTCCTGACACACACACACACACACAAAGTAAGAAGTTTAAACAGCCCTTTGTTTTGGTGGTGCTTTACATATCTATTGTAATTTTCTGAAGTTTTTATTCAGTCTTTAAAGACTGCCTATTTACAAACCATCTACTGCACAGGGGTTGGCTGCCCCTGTGGATTTAATCCTACTGTCACCAGTAAAGTTTATATATAAGGGATGTAATTTGATTGAATGTGGCAAAATGGGAGAAAAAAAATCCCCTTTAGTTGCTATGTCTATTGATTCATCTTGAATACATGAATATCTGTAGAATGTTAATACAGCATTATTTTCATCCAAGATATATTCAAGAGGTAAGAGTGCAAAAATAGGCCATATTGAAGAAAGGGCTCCTCTAACTTAGAATGTCTAACCTAGAGCATCCTGACCTAGAACATCTTAACTAACACAATATGTCTAAAATAAGACCCGAGGAAAGGGCTTTTCTAACTTAGAATGTTATAACCTAGAGCCTCATGGTCTAGAATGCCCCAACCTAGAGCCTAATGGCCTAGAACATCACAACTTAGATCATTTAACCTAGAGCACAGAAGATTCTTTGTGTGGCAGAGAAAAGAAGAGCTGGGGAAAGGGCTCTTCTAGCTTAGAACATTCTAAACTAGAGCCATCTAGTCTAGAACATACTAACCCAGAGCAGCATGACCTAGAACCTCTTAACACTGAATGTTGCTTAAATTGTCTATGGATGTGTCAGTTGTATTGTTAATTTTGTGATTGTTTTAAATTTGATATATTACTGATTTGGTTTTATGTTTTATGACTGTAAGCTGCTCCGATTCCCTTGTTGGGAGATGGGGAGGGGTATAAATATAGTTTATTATATGAAATGGAGCCATTTTTTAGATTTGCTTTAAAAAATCAAAACACCATTGGTCTAAAACTTTTATTACACGGAGCTTTCAAGTTCTAATATAATAATGGTGAACCAAAAATGCACCTTGTATTTCCTCCTAGGTCCAGGGATATCTAGTTATGGAAGTAACCCTCAAGAAATTGCTACACCCATCAATGACTGTATTAATAAAGTCAAGGAAAAAATTCCTTTTCATTTACATGGAAGCACACCTGTGTACCTGGGAGCCACAGCTGGCATGAGACTTCTGAGGTATGGTGGCAATGCCACGGTCCGTTTTGACATGGATCAGTGAAGTGAACTGTTGCACTTGATTCTTTGTGTATTGTTACAATGGCAGACACAGTCGAGCAGAATAAAAAATCATTATGAAGTGTTTTCTTTCTCTCTTTAATGTATTAATCTATGGATATAATACATGTAAGGTAGCACAAACTTGAAGGGAGATTCTTATTGTGTGTGGGGGTCTTAGGAGAAAAAAAAACATATCTCATATTAAATTGGTTGTGGTTAATGATGGCTTTTAAGAAAATAGATTCCAGGTCACAGTATTCCCAAGCATTTTGCAATACATATGCCAATTTTCTTGAACGAGTTTAGGGAACTAGAGCCCTTGATGGCTTTATTTTGAACTCTGTTGTCATAAGCGCTTGGCAACCAAAGTAGAGGGGGTATGAGTCTGATTTTAATCGGAGAAAAAATTGTACATGCACATACAAACAAGGATCGACTTGCCATCATAGAGTTGCCAAGTGGGCACTTGTTGGTGACTGTATTTTAATTGATAGCATATAAATATAATTCAGAGCTAACTGATGGCATATAAATATGGTTAAGTAAATTATGACATATCAATATGTTACACTATTATTTATTAAACAGTAGTGTGTATATATAAATATATTACAAAGCATTTTACTTTGTGTATGCTTTCATTGTTGCCAGATAAGTGTGCATAGGATTGAGCAGTTGGTTCAGCTGGATGTGCAGGGCTTGTTCACTCATGCATGTATGTTATTCATTGATTTCATATGAATGACCTAGCACAGATTAATTATGACAGAAAAAAATAGTATACTGTATCTCATAATATAATTCCAAACATCATGGTCCAGTTCATATGGGTAGTCCCAACAAGACCTACTGAATCAATTCAGTATCAATTATGTAAATCCCATTAATTTAACTGTTTTACTCTAGTTGGGATTACTAATAGGATTCAGTCCATTGAGCTGGATCCAAATCTGGTTGTACACGCAGAGTGGGTAAATCAGATTTCAGTGCCTCCTCTTGCTTTCCTGTAGCAACCCCTCCACACCAGTGGTCAGAATGAAGTGGTGCTGGGGTAAAAGGGTGGCAGTTTCAAAATTCGGTAGAAGCACATTTGAAAATGGTGTGATCAGGAGAAGGAGCAAGTGGGGAACTCTGCTTTTGCATGCCCATTTGAGGCACTAAATCAGATCAACCCAATATTTTTCATAGGTAAAAGCCAATGAAAATTATTTTTTCACCACAGCTCTCCAAAATGAGTGGAAATGCTGACTGTAGCATTTGGGGGAGTTACAGATCATTCTGTGAGGTTGGAAAATTTGACTGAATCTTCAAACGTTGAGAAATCAAGATGTGCATGCATGTAAGAACCAAGCTTTGATTATCTTGCCTTTCAAGGCTGCCTTTCCATGTTCGAAGTAGAAAAATCATAAGCTTTTCCTCTGGTTACTAGATATGGCAAATATTGTGGGGGTAATTTTCGCTTATCAGACACTCAGCATTTTGTGTTCTGTGAATTGCTTAGGTTGCAAAATGAATCAGCAGCCAGTGAAGTCCTTGAGAGCATTCAAAACTACTTCACATCCCAGCCCTTTGAATTTAGGGGTGCTCAAATCATAACTGGGCAAGAGGAAGGGGTGTATGGATGGATTACAGCCAACTATTTAAAGGGCAATTTCTTGGAGGTGTGTGGAACAATCTGCATGTTTTGTTATATACTATTGTCTAAAAAATTACTAGTGTTTGAATGGATGTAGCCAGGGTTAATGTAAAGTCTGATATTTTATGAAAAGGGAGATGGCATTTTAGTCACGATAGCACTGTCATACATTGAAGCAATTCAGTGACTATGGTGATTGATTGTAGAATGTACTGAGGGCAAAATTTCCTAAAGCTATATTTTAAATAACAAATTGTTCTATTTTATTACATTTTAATGGTCTTATAAAATGATGACAATGCTATTGGTATATGTTCTAAAAATACTCCTTTAAGAGGGTTAGTAGTATTCATTGTGCCACTGTAGGCAATCTTCACTTAAACATTCCATAAAATACTCCAGAGCATTAATATATCTTTATCCCATTCATAGATTCCATAATCTATATCCCTTGCTTCTTGTCTGTTATTGTTGTTATAACAACAACTACTACTACAACAACAACAATTAGGTATTATTTAGACCCCATAATTTCTCAAAGTTTGGGACTCAAAGTAACAAATTAAAAGGATCACAATGTAGTTGAAACACATAAAAAGCTGTAATCCAACTATAAAATAGAATTAAATAATAAACAATATCAAAACATTTTAAAATATACAAGTAACAATGATAAAAAGCCGATAAAAACAGTGTAGTCTGGAAAAGCACAGAAGGCCGTAGCATTTAACCTTTCATGGATTTTCCCCCCTCTCCTGAACAAAGTAGACTTGCTCTGTGCTAAAGTGGAAGCAGAGGTGTGATAGTGTAATCACTATGTCTTTGGGTGGCAGCTCCTTCAGGCCCTTTCTACACTACCCTATATCCCTGGATCGTGAGCTCTTGCCTGTCAGCCCCGGCTTCCCATGCAGGGACAGGAGAGAAGCCTCCCACAGGATGGTAACACATCCAGGCGTCCCTTGGGCAATGATCTTGCAGTCAGCCAATTCTCATATACCACAAGACACTTGCAGTATATTCTCAATTTGCCCCTGGCACTATATATATATATATATACCCAGATTATTTGGCAAACCCAGATTATTTGGCAATGGAGAATCAAAGCAAATAACCTGGAATCAGATCCTGGGATATAAGGACAGTGTAGAAGGGGGCTCAATTTCCCAGTTCTGTGACAAAATTCTGCAGTTGAATTTTACTCCAGAGCTGTAACTCTATGCTGAGAGCAATCCTAGTGGTTGATTTCTGCATAGTCATACTATATAGGGATGCATAGGCTAAAACAATTGTCTATAAATTTGTATCACAGTAAATATCCCTTATACACTATTGGGTATATGTGTGAGAGAACAAAGAATGATTAATTTACTTACAAAATTGCATTTCAAAGTCAATAAATGATCTCTCAAAGTAAAGCCTTTGATCCATGTTTTAGCTTTTTGGGGGGAGATTTTATGTAAGAAATATAAACAATGGGAAAATACAATGGCTTATGCATTCCTGGAACTCCAATGAAAGCTTATCCCAGACTGTCAAAAGAGACTTTTTTATGTAAGCAGTTTTTAGAGGAACTGAAAACCTGTTGACATATCTGTCAGTTCACCTGTTAAAAATCAGAAAAAAAATACTAAAAGAAAACTTTTGGGTCTTTTTGGATAAAATTCAAACATATTTACCAAATATACCAGAAAAGTATCCCTTCTAGTTATTATTATATTATAAGTGATACCTGGGACAAAGCAGGCAGATAAATCCAGTGTGCTGGAACAACAAATGAGTTGAACCTCACTTTACAGAAGTGCCAGCCACCTTTGCCACCAATGCGGGATTGTAGGATTTGCAGTCTAGCAATCCGGGCACCCAAATGGTGGGAACCTTTTATATTAGTAACTTGATAATGATCAAAGTGCAATCAGTCATAAAACAAAAATTGTGTCAGAATTCCACATCTAAGTCAGCTGCTAAACAAGAAAAGAGAGAAAAAACAGGGGGACATCTAGTGAATCCTATAAGTTTAAAAGTCTGTTGTGTTTCAATCTACTGATGCACTTAAGGTTTTCTTCAAGAAACTATGTACAAATCAAGTGCAGTAAGGGAACAACAAATTAATATATGGTGTTCAATTATATTTTTTACATTGCTTATAGCATGTACCGGTATATGCCTGCTTTCAAATCAAAGATGCAGAAATCTGAGCCAGGAACCTCATAACCAGTTATAAGCAGAATGAAAGCATATGAAATGAAGGATAATACTTGAACAGATGGTAGAAAAATAGTCATAACATTCAAAGGACACATCCTGGGCTTAAATGAGGAGGTTGGCTATCTCCCACTCTAAAAAAAGCTTTCCAACTGGATGAGCCAATATAGTGTCACATGAGGTTGTGGGATATTGTTATTAAAACTATTTATATCCCATCTGTGTATCAACATGCACAAAATGGAATAAGTAAAAAAACAAGACAAGCAATAAGATATTTTGTAAGAAAAAAACATTAAAGGCCATTTAGAAAATAAAACTTCAGTTTCAGCCCATTTAAAATAGCAAATTTTATTTAAAAAAATGAAAAACGGGGAAAATACTAATTTTGATTTACTGTACTTTAAAAGGTTTGTATTCACGAGAGACTGTATGGAGAAAGTAGTAGTAGTCATCCTTCCCTACTAGGCAGGGACAGATAGATGTGAATATAAAATCCATGGTAATCCTGCTACTTTACTGTTTTAACATATTCGATTTAGTTGTGGAAATTCACATAATCACAGTGGGAAATATATGTGTAATCTGATATTGATTGGTGATACAATTCGATTTCCCTAGAGTACATCTTGTTCATGTGAGGTAAGCTGGCAAATTGTGGTTACAAGATTCAGAACTAAGATCTTGAATTAATTTCAAACTGCGGCTTAAGGTCTTGGCTGGTTCTGAACATGTTAACCAAAGTTTCATAATGTAATAAAAGTATTATATGATGGTACTAAATATATAAATAAACACAGAGTCATGTTTGCCTTGTATATTTCATACACTTGTTGCAGAGGTGGGAATAATGCAGCCTTCAAATGTTTTAGGATTGCAACACTCATCGTCCCAGCCATTATAGCCAATGATGAAAAATGCCAGGGTTGCAGTCCAGAATAGCTGGAAGGTTGCATTACTGCCATTCCTGATGATAGTGCCTCAGTACTTTTTCAGTTTTATGTTAATCTTAGTCATTGGTTTTAGCATTTCAGAGAATAGCAGGTGAAATGTCAGATTTCCTTCCTTTATATTCTAGAGAAGCATTTTGAGCGCTTGGGTCCATCCTCACGGAGCAGAGACTACAGGTGCACTAGATCTAGGCGGCGCCTCCACCCAGATATCGTTTATCCCTGAAGAAACTACTGAAACATTCAACAGCACGCTACAAGTGCAGCTTTATGGCTATCCATATAATGTGTATACACACAGTTTCCAGTGTTATGGAAGAGATGAAGCAGAGAAAAAAATGCTGGCATCCATACTACAGGTATGATCCCAGAAATGAACTAACTGGCCACAGACAGGAAATGCTTCACTGATGGAGCAAGTCGGGTTCAATCCCTGTTATTTCTCCTTAAAGGGATTAAATTATAAGTGACAGGAAAGTCCTGTGGTGGAGCACTGGAGAGGTGCTGACAGTCAGAGCAGATAAGATCAGGCTCAATGGATCAATAGTCTGTCCTGGTATAACGCAGCATCCTATATTCTGAAAAAAGATGACTATAAAAACAGCCATGTATAAATATGTGAAAGGATGTTATAAGAAAGAGGGAGCAGGTTTGTTTTTTGCTGCCCTGGAAACTAGGGTTGGAGCAATGGGTTCTACTTACAGGAAAGGAGATTCTACCCGAACATTAGGAAGAACTTCCTGACTGTAAGAGGTGTTCGGCAGTGGAATTCTCTGCCTCGGAGTGTAGTGGAAGCTCCTTACTTGGAAGCTTTTAAGCAGAGGTTGGATGGCCATCTGTCAGAGGTACTTTGATTGTGCCTTTCCTGGATGGCAGGAGTTGGACAAGATGGCCCATGTAGTCTCTTCTAACTCTATTATTCTGTGATTGTATGACTACATATTATAAATATGAACAAAATTTACAATATGTTTTGTATATACTGATCCAACAGAGATTTTTATCATGAGACAAATGGAATCTTCTACATGTTTGGCTGGTTTTTAAAAAATACAATTACAGTTCGTGAAAGAAAAGTATTTCTCTCTGAAATGTTATCTCTTCAAAAAGAAAATGATCAAATTAATTTTATTTAAAACCAAAACATTTGTCTGCAATTTCTTTCATGATTTGGTGTTTTCCCTTTCCTTCATCTTGTTGATTTAGGAAATGAACAAGGGTTAGAACATCTTCTTTTCTTCTTGAGTTTTTTAGAGCAGTGGTTCTCAACACCTGGCACAGATATTTGGGGCATTTTACAGAAGCCATATGTGACACTTCATAAAGAATCTCTATAGAGCAAGCATTAATTATGCTTAAAGCTTGAGCCTCTACATGTTTGGGGCTACAATTTCCAAAGCCCCAGCCAACTTACCCAGTTGGCAGGGGTTTTGAGAGCTAAAGTCCATCACATCTAGATGACCAAAGACTGAGAGCCACGGAACTAGATGACCGCTGGGATTGTTTTTAACTCTACTGTTCTATTATTCTGATTGAGTTGAACCCTGCCAAGGAAGGAATACAGATAAAGAAGCTCTGATAGATGCCTGTGGTTGCTACAGTAATACCAGTCTAAAATCTTTCTCTTAACAAAAACTTTCCTGTTTGCTTGTTAACTTGTCAGAAATCACGTGATAAAGCCAGAATTGAGAACCCATGCTATCCTCAGAATTACAAAACTGTTTTAACCATGAAGCACTTGTATGGAAGCCTCTGCACTGCACATCTGAGACCAGAAAGCTACAATCTAAGCCATTCTATAAATGTCATAGGAACTGGCAATCCAGCTGTCTGCAGAGAGACAGTATCTCTGCTATTTGATTTTACATCTTGCAGAGACAGGGAAGACTGTTCATTTGATGGAATTTACCAGCCAAAGATTAAAGGGAATTTTGTGGTAAGTATTATTTCCTTGTTGCTTATTGTGCTAATTGTTTTGTTGTTTTCCATGATTAGGGGAGCAGGAGTTTTTGTTACTGTGTTTAACAGTATAGTATGACTCTCATATCCATGGACCTTATAGTCATGGTTTCACTTATCTGCAAGTTTCATTTATTCACTTAGGATCTCCTGCATAAGTTATACCTTCTCAGTTCCTTCATTGTTTGTCCCATCAAAAGTAACCAGGCTCACCATTATCTGTAATTTTCAAAATCCACACAATGTCCTGGAAACTATTATACTGTATTGTATTGCATTGACTTTTGTGCTCTTCACTATTTACTAGGAAGCCACTCTGAGACCACTGGATGGAAAGACAAGACATACTTTTTTGGTTAAAAATAACAAAGTGAATCTATAGGCCTCATTTTATCTGTCACTGGCATGAATTAACCATTGGAAGCATAACTGTGAAATAACTTTAATTCACAGGCCTTTTCAGGATATTACTACACTGTCAACGCTTTGAATTTAACTGGACAGTTTTCTCTGGCTGATTTCAATTCAAGCATGTGGACATTCTGCTCACAGAGTTGGAACCAGGTCTGTATCAATGTCCTGAGTTAGCAAGAGAAGGTATTGAAAAAAGATCCATTCAAAACAATGTTCTTAGCCACTGTTCATTAACTTTTTTTTGGAATGTCTTATACACATTTACCATGAAAAAACAAAAGTATGGAAACAATTATGGATTTTTAGCTGGCATTTTCAAAAATGTAGGATAAATGTTTACTTCAGATAATTAATAAGATATGAAAAGCAAAAGATTTGACTGGAAGTTTCTGGGAGTTGTAGTCAAAAAAGTAACTCTTCCAAGTTCTAGTTGAATCCTAAAGTTATCACTTCATGTTAGCACGCTATCTGAATGTCTGCAGATTTCTCTCCATTTAAATTTAAATCTGAGACCATACAGAGTATCTATCTTCAACTTTAATCCAGTCTCCTACATCTGCTTTCTGTAACTTACTGACTGATGAAGAAATCTTGAAACATTGCACAAAATGTTTTGTGCTTTGATTAATGCTTTTGCAAAAGTATTACATTAATATGGACCTTAATGGTAATATGGTCAACACAACTTTTGAATTAAAGAAAATGTTCTGTCCTGTTCCAGCAAACTTATTTTCTCTGAAATGTTTGTCTTAACACCTGAAAATAAATGGCACACAGTTGCTTTCAAAAAATTATGTGCCTATTAATTTTCTATGTCTACTATATTTCTTCTTGTTGAGATATATTTGAACCCTCAGACTTAATTTCACTAAACATCTTGTCCTAGAATTTCAAGAAGGGGTTTTATGAAATTAATATGAATGTTGATTTAGTATTGTAGATATTGCTGAATTCTGAATTGTTTTTGTTTTACAGATTCCATTTATGTTACCTAAATTTGATGAAACATATGCAAGATCATACTGCTTTTCGGCAAACTACATCTACCACCTACTTATACATGGGTATAAATTCAATGCAGAGAACTGGCCTCTGATACACTTTCAGAAGGAAGTAAGTCTAATCCCAGTCACTCTGTAAGAGATGTCTTGAAAAATCAAGGGATCCTGCCCCTGGGGAAGCCAGAGTTAAATCCACTTCCTTAGAGCTGTAATACATAAACTAGGACAAGGCTGAGTCTACTATGAACAGAAACTATTCAGCTTGAAACAGTATCAGGTGACTAATTAGGGATTCTTGCAAAACTCTAATTTTAATGGTAAACTGAACAAAGTCCAACATGAAACCATTTGACCCCATATTAATTCCTGAGCAGTTACCTTTTGGAACATGAAGTGATGGAAAGCAGACACTTGAGGTGGCAGATCCAAGATGCCATTTGCTAGTGTCTAGTTCTTTATTAGGATCATTTTTAAAAGGGCCGAAAAGGATGTTATTTTGATTTTCACTGTAATTTAAAAAGTGCTTAAGAGCCTGTTCTGATGTTATTTCCATTACATGGGAAAGGGACCACACCAAAGGTGTGGTCCCTTTCTGATCTGTGAAGCTAAGGCCACAGCTAAGTCATTAATCAATGACTCCTTCCTACCTAAGCCTTGTTATAAGAAATACAATGCTGGTGTGGAAATGAAACTACTCTGTAGATACATCCCATGTCATCCTATGGCACTTCCATTGATTTTTATGTGGTGCTTTCATGATGCTATTGTGCCAGGAAGGTGACACCAGAGCTTGCTTTAAGGCAGGCACTGAGAAAAAGCTAAACAAGGAAGCAGTGCAGTGCATTAACTGGACTTACGTGTTTTGGGGTGAAATATTCTTTAGAACAGCTGTTTCCAAATAAGCAGCATTTGAAGTCAAAATGAGCACTTGCAACTGTTACTCTGGTCATTATGGCTGACAGAAAATAATAAAGTATTTTTTTCAGGAGAATAAAATCATATTAATGCTTACACACAAAGCCAGTCTTTTCATGGAAATCGGCCTTGGATAGTTCCTTTAATATTCCGACTACAATCCAAAATGGGTTTACCACCCAATTAGCATCTCAGCCACAAGTCACCTTCTAGTTCAAAAGTTACAAGAAATCCTTATTTCCCAGTACAAGGAAGAAGAGCATGTATGGCCTGCATATCCTATAAAGGGAGACAAGCGTTTGAAGTTTTGTTTTAGAACTAATTATCATTTGTCCTCCTTATATCTAAACTTGTGTTGCACAGTTTTCCGAATTGTAATATAACAAGGAATTACAAGTTCTTATAGGAACGTTTTCAATAATCTCTCCTTACATGCACAAAAAAAGAAGGGAAGGAGTAGAATGTAGGAAACTAAGCCTTGTGCAGGCTCATTCTTTTTTGAGGCTCTGTAGACCTTGTTGAACTGAAACTCTGTCAGCACAGTCAGTCATAGATCATGAAAGTGCCATCCAGCATCATACATTCCTCCTGTCAGTTGTACGAGGGTTTTTTAAAAGCAACAAATAGCTATACTTCTGCTAGCACATCCCATTGAACAAATATGAGTTCTGAATTGGTTTTGGCACTCATGCAGTATGTACAGAACCTACTTTATCTTGTTGTCTGAAAAAAACAAAACGTTTCAATAGCTGCTGATTCAGATACATGATTATCTTTTTCTGTGTTCCAGGTTGGTAACAGCAGCATAGCTTGGTCATTAGGCTACATGCTTAGCCTCACAAACATGATTCCTGCAGAGAGCAATAGGATTTGGTTCCCCATGAATCCCTCTCTGTTTGCTGGACTGCTTCTCTTCTTCACAGCAGTGGCATTGCTGTGTCTAATTTTCCTGGTGTATTCATGTGTTGTGTCACGCATGCAAAAGAATTCTTGTCATGTTGAACATGTATTTGCAGAATAAACCAGTCTCATGGGGAAGATCTGAACTTGTACATATTTTTAAAAGCATCATCTCTATTTATAACCCAGAATTTTACTCAAGAAAAGCATTTAAGAGGTCAAGCATTGTTTAAGAGAAGTAAAGAGTCAAGAAAATAACTGCACGATAAGAAGATATACCAATCTAAATGCATGACTCAAGGGTGTGTGTGTGTAAATCATGCTAGGGCTGCCAGCTTGATCCTGCTAGAACTTGCAGTTCAACAACAACAAAGGGTTGCATTATTCTCTCCTCCAGCACCTGATTGGTCTAAATATATTTTCTGTCTTCTTACTCATAAGATACTGATAACTTGTTGACTTTGGTTGGTTCTATACAGCAAGTGTGGGCAATTGTGACCCTCCTACTAAACTGCAATCCCTATAACTTGAAATGAGACAAGTAATGTTGAGAGTGGTGGGTCGACAGCATCTGGAAGTCTACAACTTGTTCACCTTTGCTATACAATACCTAAACAAGTAGAGCCATTTCATTATGTAGCATGCATTTGCAGCAAAAAGCACTGTGCAACACATTGAGATAATATCACACATTATTGTCTTTCCCCAGATTAATACATGCTTGATAGACTAAAAGCTCAGACCGCTTCCTAAGGACCTCTTCACATGGGGTTAAAAACCAGTGGCATGCACTGGTGTAGCCCAGGGCACCCATGGAGCCTCTTGGCTCCCATCAAATGATGCCAACGTGGCTCTGTGGGTGAAGGAGGTCGAAGCCAGTGCATGCCGCTGCCACCACAGTAACATGAGAGGCTTCCTGTGTTGCCATTGGAATCTGTGGGGAGAAGTTGCACACGCCATGCTTCCCCCCTATGGGATTGCCTCAGCTGGAGCCAGGCGATGTGAGGTGTGGGGCACCAGGTTCCTTACACACACTCACACCCCAACAAAGTAGAGTACTCTGGTGGCCATGTGACAAGGTTGTAAAGCTAATAATCCAAAACACCTAAGGCAGGTTGGTTAAACTACTTACAAAATACTTACAGATCCTCTAAGAAAATTCAACAAATGCTATGGTTGGCAAAGGGTAAGAGGGATCCTCTACCCACTGCAGGAGTCTACAGTATACTGTGTAGCTGTGGACAAGTCTACATAGGGACCACCAAACGCTCAAATATGAATCAAAGAACATGAAACGCATTGCAGACTACTTCATCCAGAAAAATCAGCAATAGTAGAGCACATGATAAACCAAGCAGGGCACAGAATATTATGTGAAAACACAGAAATTCTGGACCACTCTGACAACCATTTTGTCAGACTACACTGAGAAGCCCCAGCACATAGACAATTTAAACATAAAGGAAGAAACCATGAAAATAAACAAAATCTGGCTACTGATATTGAGAAACATCAGAATCCAAACAGTAACTAATGAGCCCCCAGGCAGCAAGCAATCAAGGGCCAGTGAACACCACTCAGACAAAGGATGCCTCCAGGCAATAAACATTCCAAGGGAACAACAGTTACTTTGTTCTACTTTCAGGCAGATGCCCTCACAATTGACTATGCAATCTTCTCAGTTACTCACATGTTAATGGATGGATGCCACTCAAATGCTGGCAAATCAGGCTTTCTATTTGCATCCTTCAAACTAGGTTAATAGACATTTGTTCTTTCTCCCACCCTGGACATTATTCCATAGGTATATACACTTCACTTGCTTTACCATCATCAGATCCTCTGAAGATGCCAGCCACGGATGCAAGCAAAACGTCAGGAGAAAATGTTGCTAGAACATGGCCATACAGCCCAGAAACCACATTACACTTCAATGATTCCAGCCATGAAAACTTTTGGTAATACAGATTGGTTGACCTTCAGTGCCCTATAACTTTTGTATTGAACTTATCTTGTTTGTAGCTTGGGGACTGCCTGCACTCTGAAGGACAGCTGTGAAGATCCTGAAGTGTCAAAATATGTCATTGAATACCAAATTTAGGATGGTCTATTTCTGTGGTTTTCAACCTTCCTAATGGCGTGACCCCTTAATACAGTTCCTCATGTTGTGATGACCTCCAACCATAAAATTATTTTCATTGCTGCTTTATAACAATAATTTTGCTACTGTTATGAATTGTAAATATGCAAGGTGCATTTTCATTCACTGGACTAAATTTGGCACAAATACCCAATATGCTCAAATTTGAATACTGGTGGGGTGTGTGTGTGTTCATTTTGTCATTTGGGAGTTGCTGTTGTTGGAATTTATAGTTCACCTACAATTAAAGACTGAACTCTACCAATGATGGAATTGAACCAAACTTGGCATATAGAACTCCCATGACCAACACAAAATACTGGAAGGGTTTGGTGGGTATTGACCTTGAGTTTTGGAGTTGTAGCTCACCTACATCCAGAGAGCACTGTGGACTCAAACAATGATGGATCTGGTCAAACTTGGTGCAAATACTCAATATGCCCAAATGTGACCTTGACATTTGGGATTTATAGTTCACCTACAATTAAAAGAGCATTCTGAACCCCACAAAGAATAGAACTGAGCCAAACTTCCCACACAGAATCCCAACGATCAACGGAAAATACTGTGTTTTCTGATCGTCTTTGGCAACCCCTCTGACACCCTCTCCCGACCCTCCCAGGGATCCCGACTCCCAGGCTGAAAATCTCTGGTCCATACTATTGTATTTCCCATTCCTATGTGCAGCTGTGAAAGCTGGACAGTGAAGAAAGTTACAAATCAATCCAATTGTAATGTGGTGGTGGAGAATTTCTATGCATACTGTGGCCTGCCAAACACAAATAAATGGGAAAGAAACCAAACGAGTCCTGAATCTTCCCTAGAAGCCAAGATAACGAACCACAGACTGTCCTACTTTGGTCACATCATGACACAATATGGTTCACTAAAAAGACTCTGGTCCTTAGTCAAGTAGAAAGCAGTAGAAGAAGTGGAAGGCCATGTTACATGTGGGCAATAAGACTCATTCAAGAAAGCTATGGCTTCCCCATATTTGCAAGGCCTGAGCGGAGCCGCTGAGGAGAGTGACGTGGAGGCCTCTCTTCCTGAGGCACCAGAAGTCGAACCTGACTAGAAGGCCATGGTTAGAGCGCTACCATTTGGTCAGTTTAGAAACATGCTCTTTTGACGACAACTGAGTCAGAATACCCTACTCAGCACGTTTCACCGCGTCTCTGGGAATTGTACTCCAGGGAAGCCAACCTTCCCGATCCCGGCTATCCTTCTCAACACGTACAGAATGCTTCCCACGCATGCGCCTCGTACAACTGAAGCTCTTCAGTGACCGCCGCAATGCTAGGACGCATGCGTATTAGCCAGGTTCCCTTTTCCCGCCTGCGCATGCGCCTCGCGGGTAATGTCTCGCGACGTTAACGAAGGCGGTCTCGCCGCCTCTCCCTCCTTTGCGCCTGCGCCGGCGAGTTAGTGGCAGAGGTATCGCGAGGCAACCGGAAGCCGCTCTTTCTCTTTTTCCGTCGACTCGCGCGGCGTCCATCATGGTGAGCGCGGCGGCGTGGCTGAGGCCTAATTTGTGGGGCTCTCCTGAAGGGATTGTGAGAGGAGGACGAAGAGTAGTTGAAGGAGTGGGGCGGGAGGAGGAGGAGGACAGAAGTGGGCCTCTGGTGGCAGCGAGTTGAGGAGTGGGTCTCCGTGGATGGGAAGAGGGAAGAACTAGGCGGAGGGGCCTTGCCTCTGTCAGGGACGAAGAAAATGTACTTACAGAAACACAATAATTACAATGTAACGTCAGAATGAGAACTCTCAACAGTTTCTGAAGCTCAGGGGTTGGAAAAGGAACTTTCTTGCATTGGCCATTGTGTCTGGTGGGGTGGGCAGAGCGCGAAGGGCTTCCACTCCCAGAAGTAACTCTTCTGCTGGCGGTGAAAGGCGTTATGAGGCCTTGCCCTGCGCCAGCCACGTTTCTCGCTAGGCCCTAGTCTGCATTGCCATATATACAGGTTCAGGCTGTAATCGGGGCCCGAGGAAGGCCCCTTCGCCAAGCCAGTTGTAGGAAGGCATGGGTTCAAATTGTGGTTCAAGCACCAGAATAGCTCTATGGCTGCCTTTCAGCACATCTTCCCCTCCCTGTAGGTCTCTTATCTCTTCAACACAATGCCTCTTCCGATCTCTGTGCCATATATATGAATGACACAGCCCTATTTCTAATAATCTGCTGGATTTGGGGTTTAGGACTGTAACAGCTGGTAAACTGGCTGGGATTTCTGGGAGTTGTAGGCCAAAAACATCTGGGGACCCCAGGTTGAGAACCACTGATCTAGAAGAATCTTCCACTTTGTGCGACTGTGGAGCAGAGCAAACAACTCTGCATCTGTATGCTTGTCCACAATGCCCTGCCTCATGTACAGAGGAAGAATTGTTTAAAGCTACAGACAATGCGGTCGCTGTTGCCTGTTTTTTGGTCAAAAACTATTTAACCGCTTGTGTTCCCTCTGTTTTTATAAGTTTTATACTTCTTTAAGTAATGCTTTTGACACAAAATAAATAAGGATTGTGAAAACAATTCTGTTTATTGATGGTTTGTGCACTTTTTAATTGCTTGAGAAGGATAATGTGTGGTGAGGCAAGGTAAAGAAAGTCTGGCTATTTCCTCCCTAACTGGTCTGGTTTCCTGCTTTCAGTAACTGGTCTGAAATCAGAAAACCAGACCAGTAACAGATTATTGATGGAATTGTACTCTGTAGAAGGGTTGGATCAAATGCCACACTTTCTCATGGTTTTGGTCTGACTCAAAGGTATTCTGGGAGTCACTGGTTAATAGAACTGCAAAGGTTCCGCATCCTGAGCTTCAGCTACAGTGGAATTCTTAGGCAGAGATAATTTGTTAAGGTGAATTTCTTGAGTGCCTGCATGGCACATATCCCCATTCTAGCCAATATGCATTGTCTTCTGTTTTACTATTCTGAAATGGTGGTATGATCAACACTAAGATCATCCCTAAATTAATCTTTGTGAGATATTATAATGATTTTCTTTCCTATAAAGGTGTTCAAGCGCTACGTTGAGATCGGCCGAGTCGCCTACATTTCCTTTGGACCACATGCGGGCAAGTTGGTTGCAATTGTAGATGTTATTGATCAGAATAGGGTAAGTTTGAATACTTGCTGTATGCCTCTAGTATAGCTATGTATTCCATCATTTTTGTAAGAGTTCAGAACTGATTCGGTAAAGGGAAATAAGTAGCCTTCTTTTCTGTCTGGATTGATTTCCCTGCAAGTTTCAACAAAAGGAAAGTCTTCATCAACAGCCATCATAAAGGGTTGTCTCGTCTATTTCTTTCTGATAGAAAAAGACAGGGTAGTAAAAAAAAATCCCAAGAAGTTAGCATCTTGGATTTCATGCATATAGCTGGCCAGTAAAACTTGTAGACTTTTGTGAACATATTACAAGGTTGCATTTATGCAGCTCTAAATTGTGGATCACCACCCCAAACTTGATCAGAAAGAGAATGCAGATAATACAAGCAGTACATCCTTACATTCCGTGAATTGCCAAGGGGGGGAGGGGGGGATAGCTTTGTCATACTAATACTCAGATTGTATCATATTGTCTTGAAAGTGAAATTGGGTTCGACCTAGTTAGTACTAGAGGGACTGCCAGTTGTAGGCTTTATTCAGAGGAAGATAGTTGTAAATGACCAATTCCTTGTTTAAGAAACTAACATGAAATCCATAAAGTCATCGTATTCAACAGTTAACTTTTGTAGTTACCATCTTAGTGCTGAAATGTTAACATTGCTTTTTCTTGATTTCTGGCTGGAATTTGTATCTGGAGCGGGCAAGCTTTCAAGAAGACTTTTACCTGTTATTATTTTATATCATATAAGAATAAAAGCTGAAGGTGGAGATGGAAGATTAATCCAGTGCTCACCTTTTAATCCTTGGAACTGTTGTGAAAACTAATTATTTTTTTCCTTCCTTTAGGCACTTGTAGATGGTCCCTGCACTGGTGTCAGAAGACAAGCCATGCCTTTCAAGTGCATGCAGCTGACTGACTTTGTTATCAAGTTTCCCCACAGGTTGTTTATCCTTGTAGTTTGTAATCCCTGTTTCTAAAGTTGAATTAACGTGGAAATAGCTTACATTGTTGTGGATGTAGAATTTATCCATTTTCATATTGGCTGAAAGATTTGTGGGAATAATAGCATAAAAGACTCTCCTGTACTCTAAATTGTTAAAACTTGTAATATCTTCTGAAATACTGTTTTATATATATATATATGCAGTAGGCAAAGGTAAACTGTGAACAAATCTTGCCAAGAAAACCCCTTGGAAGGGTCACCATAGACTTGCCACAAGTTGGAAACAACTTGAAGGCACACAGTGACAATCACAAATTTAAAGCCTATGCAGGAAAATATAATTAACGTGGAATTGGAACTGGAATGATACTGAGTCCTAACATGGAGAATGTTGCCTGAAATACATGTTTATATTAGAACTTTAGGTAGTCTTGAAACATTCAGCACATGCTCAAATAGGTAGCATAGCAAATCACTGTGGTACAAGGACAAAAGTCCAACATGCAATAATGAGAGTCACTGAAACTTGTTCCAATGGCATATTTATATTAAGGCAGATGATATCAAACTATAGTTTAGTGTGATATGTTGCATAATCACTGTTTGTAAGGTGTGTATGAAGAGTGTATGTGGCACCTAACATTTAGGAACTTTTTGAAGGGTATGGATAATAATAGAATCTATAATTTGCTGATTGCTTAAAATTAAATGTGATCTAGAATTCTAAATAGCATGGGGTGGGATGTAGTATAGATGATGTTAGTAAAGAACCATTTATAAATGAAATCTCAAGTAATGTTACAGTAACATGTATTTGTGTGTGCTTAAATCTAGTGCTCGTCAAAAATATGTGCGGATTGCTTGGGAGAAGGAAAACATTAATGAAAAGTGGAAAGCTACCAGATGGGCACAAAAAATTGAGGCCAGAGAAAAGGTATGTTTTCAAAGTATCATAAACTGGACAACCTGTTGAATTAAATTGGGACCCAGGCAATTAGATGTAACGTCTTAGCAGCAAAGGCATAGTGGAATCTACATCAGTCCATATTCATGGTTCCAGTTAACCAGCTGTTCCCTTCAGGATTAAAAACTCCCCATCAGCTTTCTGTTATAATTGAACATGCATTTACCTCAGTGCTTTGTTATAGTGGGTTCATCCTTTAAGGGCTTTTCCCTTTCCTTTTTGTACTTCCATCAGTGGAATTCTCTGTTCTGCTGATACTTCTTGTCTATTTGTTACATAAGTGATGCTGATGCTGGACATCAGAAATAAGATTTTGTTAAAACAGATTGTAAATTACCAGCTCCTCATAGCTATATTTCAGAAGAAGGAACTGGCAAAACAACCTGATTATTCCTTGCTTAAGAAAACTATGAAATTCATGGGGTCACCTAAATTGATTGGTGACTTGGGATGCATACACACATGTTTTTTAAAAAATAATTAATAAAAGGCAAAATAATGAAAACACTATATTGAGTCGTGGCACAGTCCTAGTAGTCATTAAGTGAACGAGATAAGCATGTAGTGCATTTATTTAAGGATGCCTTTATAAAAGGAGTGATCATACTTTATTGGATTCAAAACAGCCAGACAGTGTGAACAAAACTAATGTTCATTCTGGGAAATGTTTCTACAGAAAGCCAAGATGTCAGATTTTGATCGCTACAAGGTTATGAAGGCAAAGAAAATGGTAAGTAACTTGTGTGTAACTACTGTTTTTTTCCAAAACAGTGTAGATGTGCTGCAATCTAGCTTTATATTCTAGGTAAGATCAATTTTATGATACCATCTTGATTTTTTATTTTAAGGTGATTATCTGAGGTACTTTACATTTTTGTGTTTTCAAATTTCATCCTTCTGATGATCAGTAAAAATGTAGTTTAAAATGTAGTATTCCTGTTATAGAATGTTTTCCCCCCAGGGGAGTTCTTTAATATTAATATTGCTATGTTCCTGGGCAAGACTGAATTTTCCCAGGCTCTTGTATTTGTATCAAGGCAGTTTTAATAATGCTGTTTAAATTCTGGTGTTTTGGAGGTTTCATTTTTTATAAATAAATAAATAAACTCTTAGATTTCTATATTACATTCTGAGAGGCTGAGAAGCTAGATTTTATCTGAGAGGCTAAGAAAGTATATTTTAACTAGATAAAGGTTTTCTCACTTGGTGTGCTCTTTTATCTATAATGTTTTTGTACACCCAAAATAAGAAGCTAAACTTCTATAACATGAAAGTTGGAAGTTTTGACTACATTTCAAAACAAATAAACCAGGTTAAAGTGCAACCCCCCCCCCCAGTTGTTCACTTGTGACTAATTAGAAATATAATTTTCCTTGCTAATAATTTTCAATGACTTTTGTTCTTACAGCGAAACAGGATCATCAAGCATGAAATAAAGAAGCTCCAGAAGGCTTCTGCTCCTGCTCCTGCCAAGAAAGCATAAACTGTCAGAAAATAAACTTCAGTTTGGTTACAGCTAGTATGACAATGAGTTCTGATTTTTTTTTCTTTTGGTAATTTACCTGGAAAAGTTGAACACTGACTAAAATTGTTGATGGCATGCTAATTATCAAATAAGTTTTAGCCAGTTATGGCTAACATGTCTTTAGCTCCCCTTTCTGCTATTTTTGTTTTGAAATTAAAACATACTCTGCCTAGCAGGCTAATAGAAGCATTATTGAACCATAGTTGTACAGTTTAGTTTGGATTTTCCCCCCACTGTACACTTCTGGCCAGAAAAATGTGCTGCCTCCAAAACTGATGAAAAATGGAATCCTTGTTTGAACAAAAAAGCTTTGAAGCTTCAAGGACATTCAATGCTAATCAAGGTGGCCAAATGCAACATTGACATCTGCCTCAAACAGACAAGAGTTCTTTCTTCCTCCCTGGACATTCCACAGATATATAAACCTCATTTGCTTAGTTTCCAACAAACCTCAGAACCTGAGGATTTGGGTGAAATGTCAGGAGAGAACACGAAAATGGCCATACAACCTGAAAAACTCACAGCTACCCAGTGATTCCGGCCACGAAAGCCTTCAACAACACAAAAAAATGATACTTCATGAGGCTGCTTAAACCATACCAGTTAAAATCTAGACCTTTTTCTATAATGTTCTTTTTTTTAACCGAAATCACTAAAATGTTGCACGTATTAGTGTTAATAGAACTTGGCATTAACCGTGGGTAAGTTTTAAGACATAGAAATTCCAAATTTGTTCCCCCACAGGGCTGGAAAGATCCTATCTGAAACTGGAGAGCTACTGCCAGGGAGTGTAGATAGATGGACCAGTAGTCTGACTTGATATAAATCAGATTCCTATGTTCTTAATTTACTTAAATTGTACTGATGCCCTAATAAATAGGCTCTTCATTGTTAATTTGAACATTTAATACAAATGACCCTGGGCATATGAGATAATGTCCCTTAGTGAATCTCTGCTGTTGAGAGCAGGTGGCCCCATTTCTGTAACGCATCCCACATAGAATCATGGAAGAGACCATGTAGGCCATCTAGTGTAACCCCCTGCCATGCAGGAAAAGCACAATCAAAGTACCCCTGACAGGTGGCCATTCATTCTCTGTTTAAAAGCCTCTAAAGAAGGAGCTTCCACTACATTCCGAGGCAGAGAGTTCCTCTGTTGAAGGGCTCTCATGGTCAGGAAGTTTGCTGCTACTTGGTTGCTAGATAATACCAACCTTGTTTTAAGCAATATGTGGAATTGGTACACTAAACCGATGACACCAACACCCATTTATGACTGACTGATCCCTTGATATAGATTTATATTGATTAGTATCGTATTACATTATTGTTATTGTTTACTTTATAAAAGGGGACACAAGGCAGCTAACAGCTACACTGATTTAAAACAAAGCAAACACACAAAAAAAAAACCCTGTGTGTGTTAGGTTAAAAATACAATTAATACTATTAAAGTGGATTTTAAAATGCACCTTCCCCACCCCAAAAAATCTCACCCACAACCTCCTCAGCAGCATGTCTGCTGGCAGAGAAAGGTCAGCAGGGATGGGGCCATCCTGGTCTCTCTTGGGAAGGAGTTCCACAGTCTGGGAGCAGCCACCAAAAAGGCCGTCTCCTATGTTCCACCAAATGCACTTAAGCGGGTGGTGGGACAGAGAGAAGGCCATCCCCAGTAGAGCGTAGTCCAACTGGGATGTAACCAAGGCACGTACCACAGTGGCCAGACCAGATTTCTCCAGGAATGGGCATAGTTGGCACACTAGCTTTAGCTTTGTGATCACACTTTACAACCACAACATGACTGATCAGAAAACCTAGACTGAATGAACATATGTATTTGATTTTTAAAGTTATAGGATGAGATATTATATTTTGTCAAGTTTTACTTTGAAGCTGGATGCAGAGCTTTTAAATTGACTCTTAACTCCAGAATTGATTCTGATTCCACACCTCCCTACTCTACCCTTGTTTTAAGTTCCTGTCCTTTTAAGAGATGGTTAGTGGTCCTACTGAGACCTATGCAATAGTGAAGTGTAGAAAGCTGCTTTGAGTAAATTATTTTCAACCATATGCCTCTCTGTGTGAAATAGCATATTGTTAGAGCTAAATGACTTGGTTTTTTCTCAGTTTCCACTTCTGAAGCGACAAGCTTTCTAGCCTCATGAAATCTATAAACATATTCAGGGGTGGCCATGTTCACCATGCAGTGAAAAACAGTAAAATCCACAAAATAGCGATAGGTTTATGGGGCCAATTACAAACACAAAATCGACACTACAAGCTTTTGAAGTTTCACAGGCTTGATCATCAAGCAAAGATGTTTAAAAATGGTACAGAAGAAAAGTGTTGGTAGAGTCACAGACCTACATTTTGCCCTGTAGGTATTTTAGCTACAATCTATTGTAGAAAATGATTATTTTGGGGAAGGCCTATGAATAAGATCTGGCCCACTAAACTCACAACAAAGCTAAGTGCCAGTTCTTCGCAACTCTCCAGTATTTTGGTAACTGAAATACAAGCTCCTTCAAACATTGCAGTTTGAGATATTGATAAACTTAGCATAGTTTTATATAGTATGCATGTGTCCGAAATGTCTAAGTAATCCACTAGACCATGGCTTGACTTTGGAAATACAATGTCAACAAAAAAGACATTTTGTTAGTGGTCTCATGAGAAATCTACCAAGAAACATTTCCTGAGAACTAGTCTTGTTTGTTCATTAAATCAAATCAAGATGGCTTACAACTGAAAAACAGAATTGTATCTACAAATAAAAGGCTACATGATCAAAATAGCAAGAACCAGCGTGGGAGAGAAGAGCCTCCAGAAATTTCCCACTCTTTGTTTATTGGCAGGAAATCTATTGGCAAAGACATAATTTCATCCGATTCATTAGCCAGAAGAAGGTCTGACAATTTTTCATGGGTGGGTTTCCCTGAATTTCATTTCCCTCTGACTTCAGCTCATGGCAGTTAGACCCACAACCATATGTAATACCTACATATTTAAAATTCTGGATAATAGTGTGCATATCTAATGGAGTATAGCCCATGAAAACTTGTGCTGCACAGTTATCTTGCTTTTGTTTCAGATTGCCACCCTTCTAGAAATTTCAGTAAGTTTCATAGTTTTTGGTTCAAGGTGGAACTGATCTGAATCAATCCTTTTTTCTCTCCTGTATCCCCTTTCTACCAAATTTGTTCACTTTTTTTCCTAGTTGCAACATATGTATGCTAGGAACCTATTTCAGAAGTTTCTATAAGGAGTAGGCGAAATGCAATACCCAAAACTTCCAGTTTCACCTTTTGTTGCCTACATGCACTCAGCCCCAGAAAACCCAGTGATAGGCTTACTGTTACCATTAATACTACAACAACAACTACTACTACTACCATCATCATTATCATCATCTGATGCACAAGATTAGTAAACATCAATAAAATCACTGTGCTGGCTTAGATCACATGCTGGGCACTTCCCAAGTGTCTAGGACTGTGTGATATATCAGCAAATAATGTGTGTAGGGTGGCCTTTTGCAGCTGATAGATGGTAATTTTGTCAGCACCAATTGTTTTCAAGTGCAGGCCAAGGTCTTTAGACACTGTACCTAGTGTGCTGATCACCTCTGGGACCACCTTTACTGACTTGCGCCAGAGTCTTCACAGTTCAGTCTTTAAATCCTCATATTATATAAGCTTATCTAGTTGCTTCTCATAAATTCTACTGTTGCCTAGGATTGCAACATCAACAATCCATACTTTGTTTTTTCCCCACAATCATGAGACCAGGAGTATTGTGCTCCAAAACTCTGTCAGTCTGAATTTGAAAGTCCCAGAGTAGTTTCTGATCTATAATAGCAGCTCATGACAGTTCGATTCTGTGACATTGAAATTTTCTTCCCCTTTTGCAGTTGGTTTGCTTCCAGTTGCCCTATAGGCCCATGAACTGGTACAGCAGTGGGTCCTGGTTCCTGCAGCCCGTTTGTCAGCAGGTGCGCAGGAGAAGCACTCACCATGTTTCTTATTATCCTGGGAGATGACCAAGCCAGTATAGACCTCTTTAGGGTTTGGTGCACTTAGTTCTCCTTCTCAGCTGTGACCACTCTGGCTTGGTTGAACCTACTGGTAGTTTGCACTACCAGCAGAACAGCTCTCAATATCATAGAAGCAGTTAAGCTCCCCTGCTGACAACAAGGCAGCACCTGATGGGGGGAATTATTATTGTATTGTTGAAGGCTTTCATTGCCTGAATAGTTGTAGTTTTTTTCGGCCTATATGGCCATGTTATAGAGGCATTATCTCCTGACCTTTCACCTGCATCTATGGCAAACATCCTCAGAGATAGTGAGGTCTGATCTCACTACATCTGAAGATGCTTGCCATAGATGCAGGTGAAACATCAGGAGAAAATGCCTCTAGAACATGGTCATATAGCCCGAAAAAACCTACAACAACCCAGGAAGAAGAAGAAGAAGAAGAAGAAGAAGAAGAAGAAGAAGAAGAAGAAGAAGAAGAAGAAGAAAAAGAAGAAAAAGAAAAAGAAGAAAAAGAAGAAAAAGAAGAAGAAGCAGCAGCAGCAGCAGCAACACAACAAGATTAGTACACAGCAAACAAGATTACTATGCTGGGTGTTCTATTTGATCACACGTCAGACACTTCACAAGTGTCTAGGACTATGTGATGTACTGGCAAAAAACGCATGCAGATCTGAATAGGCTGGCCTTTTGCAGTTGATAGATGGTAATTTTGTCAGAGCCGATTGTGTTTAAGTGCAGGCCAAGGTCTTTAGGCACTGCACCCAGTGTACCGTCACCACTGGGATCACCTTTACTGGCTTGTGCCAGAGTCTTTGCAGTGTGATCTTTAAATCCTCGTATCGTGTTAGCTTTTCCATTTGTTTCTCTTCAATCCTGCTGTCACCTGAGATTGCAACATCGATGATCCATACTTGGTTTTTTAACACCACCACCACCATCATTTGCATTAATATCCCACTTT